CAACACACACTATTTTACTCATTTCTAATAATGACCATAACTAGTATCAGACCTAAGAGCATCACAAAAGTGAAAATACTAATGTAACAACCCTGAAATCAAGATAAATGCAGCTAGGCTAGTAATGCACACCTGTAATCTCAGAACTCTGGGAGTCTGAGGCAACAGGGTAAAAATCAAGCCCAGCTTGGGTAACTTAACAAAATCCTGTCTCAAAGTAAAAACTAAAAAGGAATGAAGAAAGCAATCCCAAGTAACAAAAAATGATAATAAAGATGATGCAATAATTGACAATTAGCAAGCGTATTTGGTGTTTTTTTCTTTTTTTGGACTTAGTCTATTTACAGCTTTTTTTTTTTTTTTTGAACTGTAGAGCATCATACAATTACATTTCTCATTTTCTGACCTGAAAACAGATGCCTAAAGTGGAAATATTTTTAAAAAATTATTAAACTAGGTACATCCAAAATGACACAATTACACACACGATAATTAATTCACGAAGTATAATTTACTAGGATAATTCCAAGAATTTGGAAACAGCCAGTCAGGAGAAATCTAACCAAAAATTAAGTAACTGACTATTCATATATCCAGAATGAAATTTATCTAAATTCTCAAACCAGAAGCTAGAAACTTACGTGATACTATCACCATTGGACTAAACAGTGACAGTTCAAATCCATCCCCAACAGCTCTAACAGTTGGAAGCCCAAACACTACACTACTTCCTCAGTCTGTAACTAAATAAAGAGCAAGTATATCAGTTTGTCAAACATCCAGGCACCAAATTTTTAAACATTATATGCACAGAAAGACTAAGTGTTTATTATTTTCAATAACAAATAGTCATTAAATATTCTCAGCACAGCACCTGCCTGGAAAGCACAAGGTCCTGAGTTTCATTTCGAGAACAAAAAATAAATAAAATTTTCCCTTCCTCCAGCTCATACCTTACTAAAATCTCAAATATGCAACCTGTGTCACATAGTGACAAGTAGTTATTTGTGTGTGTGCGTATTCACTAACAGATACCAAATCACAATTAACAGTCCCTGCAAAAAAGGTTATGGCTTCTGGGCCTTGGGTTGGTTTCAGATTTCAAAACTAGGAAATATTCCAAAAATCTCACTTCCTTAAGGCAAACATGAATGACTGCCTGTTTGATTTTAAGCTTTCAGTCTAAAAGTGGCTATATGGTAAGTATAGAAAGACAGCCAACTAAGTGCAGTTTTTCTTTTTTCTTTCTTTTTTTTTTTTAATTTTTATTTAAGGAGAAAAGAAAAAAAAAGCAGGGAAAGGGGAAAGTTATACATATTTACAGTAAAAAAATGAACAGTAGGAAATCACTAGTTAATGGATTACATATTTTCATCTTAGAAATAATTGTTCAAGTCACAAAATTAAAGCTTGTAAAGTGGACATTCCATCAATGATATTGCAAACAGTTCTGTTCATTGATCCAATAAAACTCTGTGATATCATTTTCTATCTTATACACTTAAATATACATGCAGTTATATAGTTTGGAGCACTTTCTTTTCCTCTCTTTTGTACCATGACTATTACACATTTTGGGTTTCATTGGTCCCACGGTTCTTATTACTTTTTTGGAAGAGAGTAAAAACAAATGTGACATAACAGAACAGAATCGGTCAAGTCAAAAGGGTGGACATCATAGATAATGTAAAAACATAATACAAGGTGATCAACAATGGTTACCATAATGCCTCCCGCTATCTCTAATAGAATTGCCTATATCGTTAGTTATAATACAATTGAACAAAACAATAAAGAATAAAACCGACAAAACCAAAACATTGGAGACATTGTAGGTCTTCAAAAGTAGATAAAAGTCAACAAGAATGGGCGTCATAATGAATCTCATTATCTTCACAGCTGATGCCTAAACTTTCGAACCTGATACTATCCAGCAAAACAGAATAGGGGAACATCAGTTAAAAACCAGATGGTGAGAGTAATACAGGGCTTTAAATCAAGGTAATGAAAAGTCAACGTGGGTTACTATAATATATCCTGCTATTTTTTTTCTTTAATTAAAAGGATAAAGATCAAAAAGTAAATAATGGAGTGGAGATTGAGATAAAAGAGGGCATAACAACGAAACAGCACAGATCAAAACATAACCATTTAAGCAGAATAGTGTTTCACCACCAGATAATCCTAACCTAAAAGTAGTTACCATATTGTCTCTTTCTTTGAGATCCTTGAGTACAACTTCGTATACTGTAGCATTAAGTATATCAAAACAAAGTAAAACCATTCAAGAGAATGACAGCATTACAGAGTATTTAGAATCGACTAACAGAAAATGAACAGTGGTTTCTGTATAATCTCCTTGTCTTTAAAAGGTTTTTGCTTATACTATCGTACATAATAAAATCCAATAAGATACAGCCTATTTAGACCATTGGAGACAGAAGGACAAAAGCTAGATGAGACTTCAAAGCAAGATGATACTAAATCAGTATTACCTATTAAGACGTCATTTTCTCCAAAATAGCTGTTCCTATCATCCAATCTTCTCTGCCTCATTTCTGTTGAACTCTTTTTCTGTCAGTAGCTGTCAGTTTGTCTTCTTCATTTTGTTCTCTGCTCCATTCGTTGTGGCCTCTCTGCCATTATTTCTGGATTCTTTGTATTTTTCTTTTTTTAGAATATCCTGAATACTCTCTGTAGAGTTGAATTGGTGGTTGCAAATTCCCCCAGTTCCTCTTTATCCTGGAAGCACCTTGTTTTTCCATCAATTTCCAGGGACAGTTGTGCAGGATATCTCAATCTTGGCTGGAGATTATTATCTTTCAAAGCTTGAATTATTTCCCCCCACGCTCTTCGTGATTTGATGGTTTGTGCAGAGAAATCTGCTGTAATTCTCATGGGTGTTCCCTTGTAAGTGGTCTGTTTCTTGTCTCTTACAGCTTTTAATATTCTGTTCTTGTATTGAATTTCTGGAATTTTTATTATTATATGCCTGGGTGTTTCTCTGTTAGGGTTGTAGGTAGCTGGGGTCCTGTATGCCTCATACATCTGAGTATCTTTACCTTTTGCTAAATTAGGAAAATTCTCCTGGATTATTTCTGTGAGTAGCTTTTGTAGTTCACTTGTTTGTGTCCCTACTTCTTCTTTTATGTTCTTAATCCTTAAGTTATGGATCCTCTTATCATCTTCTTGTCTTTGTATTATTGCTGTTTGTTTCTTCGTTATTTTTAAGAAGTTTTTCATTTCATTCTCCCATATTACAAGTCTGCCCTCCAGTTCAGATAGTCTGTCCTTAGTTTCTTTCAAGCTGTTATGCCAGTCTTCTATAGACTTCTTAGTATCTTGGTAGTCCCTTTGAACCTGCTTCATGTATTCTATGCTTTCTCTGTTTTCTCCATCAAACAATTCTCCTCTTTTTTTCTGTTCTTCCATTCCACCACCTGTTTTTTCTTGGGTGGTACTTAGCATTTCTCTAACTATTCTGCATACTTCTAGCTTCAGGTCATTGGTAACTTCATTCCTGAATTGGTCTATGAGGCTCTCTATATGGCGCCTTATGTGTATTGGTGCGGTGTCTGCTATTGCCTGTTTCTCAGAATTGGGGGCCGAGGAGCCTTTCTTGTTGCTGCCTCTTCCCATGCTGCCTCTTCTTCTCTGTTCCTTATATATACAAGCTTATATAAGAGGCCCAGCTTCTCTCCCAGTCAGCCACAGCCTGATCGAATTGCGCCAGTTAGGTGTTCCCGCTCACCGCTGCGCACCAGGGAGTTACGGACCAGGCAGCCTACGCGTCTCCCCTCCCGGCCACCGTCAGGCTCTGGGATCTGGGTTGGGACAGCCTACCAGGTCCGCCGGCAGCATCACGAAGGCCAGGCACTTTTCACCAATCCCGCCCGAGAGGGGAATGTGTGGCTGGAGTCACCACCGCGCCCTGCTCCCGCAGGACTGCTCGGGCCCAGAAAGTCCTCTGCTGGAGTCAAACTGTGGTAGAGTGTCAGTTTCTCTCACTCACCTCACCACAAGTCAGTGCACGCCTCCCTGCCGTTCGCAGATTGCCGTTCTCAGAGCTTCTGCGCATCTCTCTCCTTGCCGAGCCACTCTAGAGGCAGCCAGCCGCCGCGCGGCGGGAAACCCAAATCGCGGCTTACAATGGCGCGGGGTCCAGCCTCCACACCGAGGCTTTTCTGTTCCTTTTTTAGCACCAGGACTGCATTCCAAGTTGGTTTCTCTCAGCCCAGTTCATTCCTGAGTCAGCAGAGCATATGTCCACCTGCTTATGTCTCCTTAGTCCGCACCATTCCTGGCTTCTGAGCCGAGTCTTTCAGAGAGCCTCCGGTAGTTGCTGTTATCTGTCCGCCATGTTCTCCCGGAAGTATCAAGTGCAGTTTTTCTATCCAATTTGGCCAAGCCAAATTATTCCGAACTAGTCTAAAAAAACTGTGGTGCTTTCTGATCATTCTAGCCTACCTCACTGTCCTTGTTTGGGTTTCAAACTGTGCCAACAGAGCCCATACTTTGGGGTTAGCTGCTTGGCCTCCTTAACGGACTTGGTGATAGCCATCTGATATAAGCCCTTTGTCAGTTCTGATTAAAGTCTGACTGCAAGTTTTTAAAACACGAGGAGACTTGCAAAAGAGCAAGAAGAGTAGTTGGAGACCCTAATCATGAAAAATGAGACTACTCTCGGAGAAAAGGGCCACTGTCTTTCCTGCACGTAGGTTATAGTAATAAAGTGGGCTGGACACCAAGGGAAGCCATAAATTTTGGCCCAATGTCCCTTACATATATAGTCCTACCCTTTGTTAGGCAAGTATTGTCTTTCAACATTCTTTTCAGTACCAACTACTTCTCATGAAGCTATGCAAAGGCAGACACTTGAAAGATTTATATAATGCTCCAAAGTTGTAAAGGCAGGAATACTGCTAGGTTAATGAAATGAAGCTTTAAAAAAAAGGATACAAAGCATTTTTCTATGGAATGTATCAAATTATGAATCTTACCTGTTGAATTACTTCTGGGTATAGCATGGGTAGTCTTTCTGCAATAAGAGCCAGTCCACCCATTCCTGCAAAAACTTGTAATGGTGACTGAATGGGACAGGTTTCAAGCAAAGATTCATCCAATATCCCATCTATGCACTCATCACTCGGAGTAAGAGCCTCATCTTCTGCACAGTTACCAAGTAAGTCTCCATGATCTGTACAATAATATATTACAAACAATTGAACAGGTAAGGACTCATTTTTATCATACACTTTCATGTATACAAGGAAATACTGTTGCCTTTACTATTCAACAACAAGGAAAAAAAATGACTAATTATTGAGACATAAGTGAATTAAGGCTGCATATTACAATGATGTCTGAATGACTTATGATACTATCTTTTATCACCTTGTTAATCAAACTATGGGTCATGGGTATCTTCTAATAGCTGCACTGAAATCCTGTCCTAGACCTGCAAAATGAAAAATCTGCATTTTAACACGTTTGTGTAGGTAATTTATAAATATACTGAAGTTAGAAAACAACTGTTCTGTATGATATAGTTGTAAGTTATAGTCTATGCTTTAAAAAAAAAAAAAAAAAAAAAGACTCCTAGCAAGTAATATGCATACATTATGTTCCAAAGTATCCAGTAAGGAAAAGGTGAATAATGACCAATATATTACTGAAAATTAAAAAATATACCATACCTGGTTTCACTTTTATTTAATAGGAAACACAAAATGTTACTGTGTTTGACACATAAGGAGCCCTTACAAACATTGAAAAGAGAAGAGAAACAAAATAAATCCTGCTGCAAAACTGAACAAAGTAAATGTACTATAGTAATATTTACTAAATCATCAATAAGTACAAAAAACTACATTCAAGAGAAAAATTAAAGAGTTTAAATATGATAGCATACTTGTATCATTTATATAGAATTTATAGTGGTGAAAAGTTTGAAACAGGGTTGAGGATTTAGCTAAGCGGCATAAGCACTGGCCTGGCAAGTATGAGGTTGTGAGTTCGATTCCCAGTACCAAAAAAAAAAAAAGAAACAATCAGAATGTTTAAAACAGTGGAAACATAAGTTTTATACATACAAAAAGAAAAAAAAAAAAAAAAACAAGCGCCAAGAAAAAAACCACACCTAGAATGATTCCCAAATCTGCAAAAGGAAAAATGTTTATGAGCATATCACCCATTATGAATTATTAATAAAGTTGTGCTCTCATTTTGACTATAAAATTACAATTCACATAGTTTTCACATGCACATGGGCTTGTATGGCAAAGCTATGGGGGAATTTACACAATCTAATTTCCAAATGAAATAATGCCAATTTGTAATATTCACAAATGATGCAATCTAAGTTCATATAATGAAAACAGTTCAATTAAGTCATTACTGATAGAAAGCTCTATCTTCTGAATCACAGAATGGATTTTTTTTTTTGAGACAGGAGCTCCTTATGTAGCTCAGGCTGCCTTGGCCTCAAACTGGTAGCCATCTTCCTGCCTCGGCCTTGAGTGCAGGGATTACAGGTATGTGTCTCCACACTTGGCTAAGACCAGATTTTTTTTTTCATATTTCAAAAATTTATCTAACTCAAATTGTGCATAATGGAGTAAAACCTTGAGTTGAAAATGTACCTATTATAAAAATGGTATTAATTCAAATATATACATGGGTTCTTGGCAGATTGATTCAAGTAATACAGAGCCGAATCTTTTAAAATACCAAAATGGAAAATAAAGAAGGAGGAACCTTAAAATGTCACAATAAATTTACAGAAATATTACAAACAATAAGAAAATATTTCAAATACAGTGATTTCAGTTGCTTTTTTTTATCGGAACAAAATGGAAAGATGGGTTCAAACAAAAGCTATTATAAATTACCAATGATGTCTGTCACCCTGCATGGCTTTTTTTTTAAACAGTAAATTAAAAATTTTAGTACAATCTAAAACTTTTGCCCTTTTAAACAAGACTATAGAAATGGTTTTGTCAGTATACTTATCCTAATTTCTTTCCTTTTGAACAAATATTTAAACAATTAAAATATCTAAATCTGAGTAATTTTTTCTCTCCATGTTAAGACCAGAAATTTTATAGTAGTATCACACACATACCTTTTTCAGGGTGTAGTCTTTTAAAAGAGTCTGTTTTTGACAGACTTGGGTCTGTGATAACTCTTGATCCCAATTTAACAGTCAAATCTATCGAACGGTAACCTTGAGGAAGTTTTCGGTCATACAGGAGTGTTAAAAGTTGGGCAAGTGTCATTTCAGCTGGCAACGGCTGACCTAAAAGCAATACAACTAAGTTGAAAACTAAGAGGAAAATAATTATTGAAATTTGATTTATTAGTTACACATTATTTTTGCTAAGTCAGACATAAAATTTTGTTTGATATTGATTTCAAAACACTTGACAATTAGCTGCTGAAAAAAGTCATAAAATTGCATTTATTTCTGACACATGTGAGCAATGATGTCTGTATAGTGCTATTTAAAGTACAACATCACAAACAAATAGAAACAAAGGAACACACCTTAAAATTTAGGGTTAGTACATTTTTCCATAAAGGCCCAGATGAAAAATATTTAAAGATGTGAGGCTGCATAGGACATTGCAAATATATGTCTATGTTGTAACAGAAAAATAGATAAGCTATGGAACCTAGGTTGTATTTTCATAAAACTTTTATTTACAATAAAAAGTATTCAATACACCACTCACAGTTTGACTACTACTGTAAACTGACAATGTAAAGCTGAGAAAGCAAATGTATTCTCATTTAGGTGGGAGTTTGACTATTCTGACATAGTACAAACTTAATAAAGTGGCTACCAACTTGACCAATCAAAATATACAAGCCTTGCCAGACATTGTTTTATCTAGGAAGTATTACAGCTTAATTGCCAGTGATATATCTGAGAGAGACTTACTAGAACTAATTTTAAGGAATTTGCCTCATACTGCTTTACATATACTTTATAGTACACTAACAGAAAAGTGAGAAAGCAATGAAATGGGAAATATAACTTTAAATAAATCCTTAAAAAGAATATATACTAGATACCTTTGTTTTTCATTCTTGCTTCCTAAACAAAGTCTCACTAGCTTTTTTTGTTTGTTTTTTTGAGACAGTGTCTCACTGTATAGTTCAGGCTAGCCTCGTTAGCAATTCTCCTGCCTCAGCCTCTTAGGTGCTGGGATTAAGGGCATGTGCCACCATGCTCTGTAGGGAGCGGCATATCTCACTGTTGCCACCTTATCTCGCCCTCCTGTTGACCTTTGCCGCGTCTGCCTACATTTCCCATGATCTTCATGTCTGGCTACATTACCCATAATCCTCTCCTGCTTACGTACTTCGGCTTCCACTAGTTGCCTACGCATGGTTTCCTGCTAATCTGATAACTCCACGTCATTTGAGGAGATCTAAACTGACCTATCCTATAAAGCCACATTCCCTTGGACTTTTTATAAGCCATGTACACTTCCTGAATAAACGAGACTTGATTGGAACTTTTCATCTTGTCTCCATCTCTCTTTCCTCTTGCCCTGCCCCCCATTCCCGTTCTCTCTTCAGGCATGACCCACGGATTGATCCGCAGGCTGGATCAATGCCCAGCCTCCTTTACTGAAAGCACCTGATAATCAAGCATGATTCTCTTGATTACTATGGTGGATTTTATACAGCTGTAACACAATTAAATTTTCTTGATGTTTATTCATTGTGAATATTACCTGCCAAGAGTTTGTGGAACAAATGGAACACAGGAACAGTAATGATTTTGTTGGCTGTCTCTGCACCTGAGGAAGAATTTCCTATTTTGTCAGGGATTGTCCTCCCCCTCCTGGATGGTGGGCGAGGTGGTGTAGCTGATACAGCACGTTTGGATTGGGATTTCAGCCCTAAAAGAAAACAATGCATTAAAATTCTATGTAGCCAACACAATAGAAATGGTTTTCTACAATATTTTAATGAAGTACACATTGTAAACTAATGTCAAATCACAGAAGTGCTTCTAATCCAATATCTAATCTCTCAATTGTGCTTGCACTCATTGACACATGATAAATAATTTAGGCTATCTCTCTCTATATATATCTGTTTTCCAAGAGAGTAAAAAATGCTGCTGGCTGCTATAAATTTGCATTACAGATCCCATCTATGCAGTAGAATGCAGTTTCTTTTTTTTTTTTTTTTTTGGTCTTTTTCATTTTTATCGGTACCAGGGATCGAACTCACGACCGCCTGCTTGCAAGGCAGGTGCTTATGCCACTGAGCTAAATCCCCAGGCCCTAGAATGCAGTTTCTGCAAAGACGTTTAATAAATCCTTCATTAATTTTTCTGAGACACATCCATACAGAGGCTCTCCAAACTGAAAGTACATGAAAAATTCATTTGAATGAAAATCATTTTGACTTATGTTTAAAGAAATAACCTTCTAAAATTAAGTTGCCAATAAATGAGTTTGCCCCAAAACTCCTAAACGCTTAATGAACTTCTGTAGTAAGAAAACATAATCAAGCTCAAACAAGATATCTAAACTATTCACAAGTGTTCATATCTGAGGAACTACAGTAAGCTTTGGGCAAAAAGTAAGGTTAATAATAATTCCACTATTGAACTATAATAGGTTTTCGGGGCAGTATTTTAAAATCTAGTACTAAGACATTAAGTCAGCCTTTATACTAGTACATTTTATGACATGAAGTTACTATAGAAAATGAAACAAAATAGGAATTACACAAAATACAAAGCATACCAGAAGCAACAACAACACTATAATTATCCTGAAATCCATTTTCTGCCTTAACTTTTTCTTTTTCTTCATGGTTTTTCTTTTCCTTGTCATCCTTTTGTTCACTAATTAATTTAGCTGTGATACTCGGAGTATCTGTGTAAAAAACATATACATAATGTATTGTTTTTCCGAATATTAACAAGGGAAGCAGTAAGTATTTCAAACAATTTACAGGACATTATCTCAAAACTGATGTAAAGCAACGTAAAAGAAGTGTTGGTAAGTCAAAGTCTACAGCTCAATGTTTGGTAATAAAAGTAAAAGGAGTTTTGTACTGAACTTAAAAACAAGGATATTCAAGCTTCATACTCTATATATAACAACACCCCCATTAGAAGCACTAAGAAACAATTAGCAGGAAAACTAGCTTTATTTAAGTTCAATGTGCCTGACACCCACACCCAATCTGATCACCAGGATATCAAGACACAACACTAATTTCAAAATTAAAAAAGAGCCTAAGGAAAGCCACTGATACAAACTGCATGGCAAATATAGACTTGAACTCAAGATTCACTCTAAAGTGTTATAACAGATTGCTACTTATACTACAAATGGTAGTATGATGGAACTGGCACATAATATGCTATCAAAAAGTATTAAAATAAATGAGTGTTGTTACCCACCGTACCTCAAGGCTCTAATCCCAGCCCTCAGGAAGCTGAGGGAAGAGGCTTAGAGTGACTTCAAGGTCAGGCTGAACTACAGAGCTAGACTCTGTCTCAAAAAGGCAAGAAAGAAATGAAAAGAAAATGGAAATGGAAATGAAAAGGAAAAACAAAAACAAGAAGAAATAGAAAAAGAAATTCAAGTCAGCCTGGATCACATAGCTAAACCTTGCCTCAAAAAGAGTTTGTGTGTGTGTGTGTGTACACTTCTCAAAGGCTGAAATGTTTTGATATTAGTAATTTTTTTTCATTATGTGAATATGGGACATACAGATTCTTGTTTTACTTTTCTACAGTTATGATCCAAAACTTTCTGTTAAAAAGGTTGAAGCAAGTTTCTTTTCTCACATTCTCCATTTTAGTTTTCTTTGAGAACCTGAAAATAATTGTCTTTATTTTTTTGTGAAATTTAAAAAATAAACATTACACATGAATAATGATGCATTGTATTTTACATTACAACCAAGTAATTCCAACTGGCAAAACTATTAACCTATTCAGAAAATCAATTCATTGAATGTCCCAAAAAATATGTAAAGAGCATTAATTTCTAAGAATTTATGTAGTACAATCAGAAGTTCAACTGATTTCCATTTAGTCACTCTGGTTTTTCAAAAATAAAATCTAAAAACACAAGTGGTGTTTAAATACTAAATGATATAACCAAGAAAAATTTTATTAGCTTTCTGTTTGAACCTGCTCTGGTTAGAAATTCCAACTCTGGTCAAGATGAATAAAAGTAACCCAGGTCTACTCTCCAACTTCAGATAACTAGTAAACAGAAAAGAACATTAAGTAATGGTTTAACACTTGGCAATAGACAAGAGTAGGACAGTGGTGGCTGGGTGCACAGGATCAACTTAGGTTATGTGCTCCCATCGATTTCTGGAGCTTCCCAGGCCACAGTTCAATAAAACTCAGGTGTCACCACTTTAGGTTGAAAACAGCTGGAATTCCAGTAATACAAAGGCAATTGCACATGTCCAAGAAAATAATAATAACAGTGCCTCAGAGATCTATAAAAGATCTTCAAGTCTTCAGTGCCTACTTAAAAATATATACCATGTGGGGAGATGAATAAAGGCCTTTTCCCAGTCATTCAATGAACCTTGAGTGGAAGCAGTAAGGCAAGGTTATAAAATTAATCAAGTTACATTACATATACACCTAAACTTAACAAAAAAATAATTCTTTTAAATCTGACTTGCCTGACACTCTGTCAAGAACATCTGATAAAGTTGTTGAGACTGGCAAATGAAGAGTACGAAATTTGTGTCCTGCTCCATACATTGGGTGCTGGATGACATGGCTAGTTGCATTAATTCTACCCTTGTACAGCTGAAAAAAATCCAAAATTAAAGAAATGAAGTCAACGTTTTAGAATGTGCATCATTATGAGATAAACTCAAAAGCATCTAAAGAATGGAAAATTTAATAATGTATACAAGTAATTTTTTTGTTTAAACGTGGTATATTTGTCATATGATTTGCTGGTAATTGTTTTCACTTAAGAGTATTTTACCTTTATATATCAGTTTTTCTTAATGTCAAATCATACCATATAATGTATGGCACTCTTAGGTCATTCTAGGGAAGTTGTAGTAATGGGTTATCCTAGAGACTTTTGAATCTGGTCATTAAATATAGTTTATTCTTGTTTCGATTTGCTAACTTAGGTAAAAACTATATTAAGACCCAGTTATATACAGACAATCATTAAATTCAACTGTTAAAATACTCACTGGGCAGGGAGACTGAAGAAACATTGTCACTTTCTCATCTTCCAGCATCAACTGTAAAAATAGTCTTCGTATAAACCCCGAAATATTCCCAGATGTTGGAAGATTACCTCTTTGAGGAGATATCTGAAACAGTTCACAAAGAACCTACCAAGGCAATAGATTTAAAAGTTTAATGCAAAATGTGGAGCTTTTTTATATTCAATAGACAAGAAATGAAAAATTAAAATAAGTATATTTCAATACATCAAAGCAACAAGATATTTTCTCTTAAAATATATGACAAAAGCAGAAAAAAAGTTAAAAAGTATAAGAAACATTTCTGCTGATAAATTAGTATTTAAGAGTTTCACACAAGAAATACATAGGTATAACCAATTTACTTTTGCCTTTGGTCAATAATAATGTGGTTACCAGGGATCAAACTCACAATGTGGCGCTTGCCAGGCATGTGCTTATACACTGAGCTAAATCCCCAGTTCCAACAATTGTTTCTTAAAGTATACTAAAGTATATGATAGAGAACTTAAGACACAGGTAATAATTTGGGATAAAGTGACAAGACAGAATCAATTCAGGCCACTCAAATTTTCAAAGTATTTATATACTTTCCTTGGTTGGAAGTTGGTAAATTAAGCATTCAGTGTTAAAAAGCCACATTAAAAGCAGAGCAGTATTTTCCCAACAATTAATTACTATATACAGTGGAGTATTTTGCTTTTGTTTTTAATAAAGTACTCAATAATCTATAAACATTTTTACTGATATACTTCTATGCGATAATAAAAGACTGACCAGAGTAAGAGATACTGGATAGGTTGGGGGAAAGGTGACAGAAGCTCACTAATATTTATGAGCATGTCATCTGTGTCAGAGACTCTATGCTAGGTAATTGATATCCATCAACAATATTTAATGCTGTCCAAAAAAACCCCCAAATTGCTCAAAGCAGGTGTTACTAGCTTCATTTTATTTGTTAAACATGTCCAACATCACGAAAACACAGAAAACTACAAATTTTGAACTACAATACTGTTAAAATAATGACATGTTTTTGTTTTTTGTTTTTAAAGGCAGGGTCTTGTTAGCAGTTCAGGCTGTCCTTGAATTCACTATGTTACCCAGGCTGGCCTCCTTACTTGCGGTGATCATTCTGGCTCAGCCTTCAGAGGAATGGAATTACAGTCATGCATCATCATGCCCAGGATTTATTTCTACATTTTCAGATTCTTTTGGTCCCAATTACTTTGTACAATAAATTGATAATGTTATGAGATTCACTCACGGTCTCATATCTAAAACTTACTCTTAAAAGTCTGCATAAGGAGAAGAAAATGATAATAGTATTAAGCTACATCAAAATGCAATGTCTAAATGAAGACTATGACACACAGTTGTTATATTTATTAGTGAATTCTGTACTACCAGCTAGAAAACCATTCTTCAAGCATTGTTCTTTTTACCTGAGTTTGGGAGGGGGCATAGCCACCTTCCCCATGGAATTTCCCAATTATCTGTCATCTTAAGGAATTTATGAGACCATGTATTTTGATAAAATATACTAGTATTTTAATTATGGTTTAAATTTAGATCCTTAAATGCACTTAAAGTTTACCATAACTTTGCCTGGTAGTCCTCACATAATTCCATCAGTGCCATGTAACATTTTATTAAAATAGTAAGACAGCTAAACCTTCAGAAAGTGTCTCCTTTCTTACCTGTGCCATCAGCTTTTGATTATTAGGATGGCATGAAATGCACTGTAGAAAGAATGCAACTGTTGCATTCTCAATTGCTGTCCGCTGTTGAGTGGTCAATCCTATTGTGGCGGCAGAAGAAAGAGATGCTGATCTTGCATTTGTCTGTTGTGCACTTAAATTATGTCCTCCAGAAGTTGACCCAGAATGACACAATAAAAACAGAAGTGCTGTCCATAATGGGTTGACTTCAGAACCACCAAGCCAATCTTTCATGATATGACTGTTGCCAACCTCTGTCAAAAACCGAAGAATAGGAGCAACCAGGTCGGCTGTGATAGGCATCTTACTACAGTGCTGTGGAACATGATGCCTCCGGAGTTTATCCTGGAAAATATCTATTGACTGAGCAATGCTTTCTGAGGAGGAAATGTGGCTAAAGCAAAAACTAGCCAGACTTCTCACAAGAAGAGAAGGCAAACCAGAGTCTAGTAACTGTTTGATGGCTTCTGGAGACTGAGAAGAGGAAGCAAGGGTTGCTAGATGAGATTCAGTTAGTGAGAGAGGTGCCTGTGCATTTTTAGAGTCATCTGTTAAAGATGAAGTAAGATCCTGTTTTTTGCTATCATCTGTCATGGATAGTCTGTGGTGACACTGCACTGGAGGTGGAGTAATTCCCATCCAGCCCATGAGCAAGGAGAAATAATTTGGATGTATGTGACACATTGAACAAAGTAGACTGTCAACTGCTTTCTTCAAAACCATATTGCAGGGAAGAGACATGGACCAGTTGAAAAGTAATCTAGGGAAATAAAAAATACCAATTAATCATATTTTAATAAGAATTAATCTTTTCAAATATTTCTATTAGAGATCAAATATACTCTAAAAAATTTAACATTAAATAATGTGACACTGTACTGTCAGGGATTATTACACATACAATATTTAAGAATTGAGGCAGATGTTAGGTTAGACTTTAATTAAGCTCAGAATATTTATCAACATATTAAAATGGTTCTATCATTATAATATAATCTCAGAAAACAGATTAACAAAAAAAAAATTACACCAAAGAAATGTTTAGGATAAACTTGTAATGAAAGTCAAAGAAATTCTTAAATACAAATTGAAAATTACTGGCAAGGTTCATTAGTTAGGTCATGGATTCTGCCAATTTGTATGGCCAAACATGATGATCACCGATTAGAAACGAAAAAGTCTACCTTCTGTGAGCTACTGTTAACAAGAAGTAAGTTCATCAAAACTTTAGCAAAGTACAGTAAAAAAGTGTGGGTAAATGAAAACTGTCTGTTGAAAGGACTATAGAAAAAGCAGCCTTTCAAAATTGCTGGCTATGATTTTCCTTCAAAGTTGTACATTAAAAAGAAAAGAACCTAATGGGAAAATGCAAAACATAAAATAGGAGAGGAGAAGTATAAAGAAAGAAGATGTGTATTATGGATATGTATGAATAAATAATATGATTCAGTTTTAAAAAGAGAATAACCCAATGCACCCCTACATGAAACATTCTGATTGCAGGGCAGAGAGGTAGACAGTGTTGCTAATATGCGTTTGTTTGTTTTGCATTTTTTGGACGGTCTGGCTATGTAGTTCTGGCTGGCCTCAAATTTGCGGTAATCCTCCTGCTTCACTCGCACTCTTGATATATTTTATTAAAATACAAAGATAAGATGAACTGTAGCTCAGTTGCAGAATGCTTGCATATTATGCAGGAGGCCGCAGTTTGGCCCCAGCAAGGCAGAAAACACGAAAACAAAAAATGTTAATTCCTCATTTTTTAATGACTATATTTGCTTTTTTTTTCAAATAATTTTAATCCAAACAGACATGTAAAATGTTTTTAATCACATAAAAATTCAAAGTGATCTAGTAAATGGGAGGCAAAAAGGGTTTTGCAATCATACTTACTCAAAGAGCTCTTGGTCCAACAGAGCTGGTAAATCATATTCTACAAGCAGTTCATAACTATGCCAAAGAATTGCTGCTACACAGTGCAAATGAGAAGGTGAAGGCATGAGGAGACCATACTCTATTGTTGAAGAGCTAGGGCACACATAGTTCATCCTGCCACTTCTTTTCATAGCAGCCACTCTTGCAGAATCACTGACCCATTTTAACAAGGCCTGAATTCTTAAAAGAAGAAATTCAAATCTAATTGTTAACAATGGCAAAACTGATCTGATTTTTACATGTAAAATAAATATTTGTAAGGCTAATAGGCTAATTATTCTTGATCATTTCTGTGTAAAACAGGAGGGAAAAAGGACTTTATAAGAAACAAGGACAAAGCAGTTCCAATTTTGCATTAGATATAACTGTTTCAAGTAAGTCTTGAGAAAATAACTATGACTCAGTAAGTAGGTAGTGACCATATATTACTTTACTTATGTACAAAGGTCTAGAATTATAGGGCACACATCTTAAAACTGTCTCCTGTAAGTTTTTTCTCATCCTACAACAAATTTATCACTACTCAGTGATCTGGGTTGAATTCTTCATTATATAAAAATCTCATGAAATACTCACATTCTCGGAATACAAGCATTAAATTTCACATTCTCGGAATACAAGCATTAAATTCTAGAAGCAATCATTCACCTTCAGTCATCCTAACAGACCATAAGTTCAAACATACTTTTTCACGTTTTTATAATAATCTCAGTTCTCTGGAGCTGGGATCAGTAAAACATGCTCAATTTTGTATTACTACATTAATGACTTTAAAAGCAAATAAAGAAGCAAAATAGGATTTGTTGTTAAATTCTTAAATTACTATGTTTATATTTGATTAGTTTCCTTTCAAATTTCTCAGACCATAGAACTTTTTTCTTCAGGTTACAAGAAATACAGATGGGTAGATGGCACCATAACATCTCTCTCTGTCTCTGTCTCTCTCCCTCCCCCCTCCCTCTCCTCTCTTCCCCCAATCAAAGTAGTAAGGATAGATGGCATATAACAGTGCTCCAGCTCATTCACAATTTTATGGTATAGTAAACAAAAACAACTCAAAAGAGTGGGATTGATGAGGTAACTAAGTAAAAAAATAGTATTTTATTCATTCTAGGGAATTCAACAGCCTTGTTATTAGTGTCAGTTCTAAAGGATAAGCATTAATATTTAGAAAGTATTGAAATATAAATTTTTATTTATGATAAAAATTAAAATATTGAAAATTTTTCAGACTGTAAGCCAACTGTAAGATTATTGCATTATAGTTCAAACGTGGCATAAATTATTTTTCACTTGCTCAAATGCTATTCCCATCAATTTCTAAAGATAATAGTAATTTTGTAGTTTTATTCAATAGAAAAGCTAGCCTACTTATTATTCTTTTAAAGATACTATGGTAAAAATAACATTACCTCGTTCAAAACGACAAACAAACTTTTAATCAAGAATGAACAGGATTAGTCAAATATAAGGGAAAGTTATTTACATAATAATACTTCCCAGAATGCATTTACTGCCTGGTACTTTATTCCACACACTGAAATTTGATTCTTCCTTTTTGAGTGACAACATTTTGCCTCCCCAATTCTGAGCACACAAAGCAGAACTCAACTGACTCTCTGCTATCTAGTACCTTGGCAGGCTACAGCGGTAATTAGTTCAGTCGCAGCTCAGTTCATTAACCTAATTCTTTCCCCAACTCTAGTTATACACCTGATTGGACGAGAACCAAATCAAATTCAATGGTCAGGTTCAATGTTGCCCTTGTAGTGAAATTTGATTCAATTCTCATCTAACTTGGGATCTTCTAAGGAGAAAGTATTGTAAGTATCATTCATTATGGCATGCTTATGTACATGTGTGTACTTAGATGAAAACAGTATCATCATATACCTGTCTTTTGTTCCAGGATCCTGCGTTGTACCAAGCTGGTAAAGAATATCTATTGTAGAGTCAGAGGAGAGTCCATTTAGTCTTCCGAAAAGTAAAGGGCTATTCAAATCTTGCAACAAAAGAATACAAAGAAAGTTTTCAACTTTCAACTAATCTGAGATGGGAAAGATAGACTTAATTTTTCAGATATTCATTAAAGGTAATTCTATAAATTTCATCAAGATAAATCAAAACATAATTAAACCATAAGAATTTAATTGCAAAATTAATCTCAAAGATCACATTGCACAAGTTGGTTATATTACAGTGTAGGTTGGTTACACTAGATACATAAAAATTAAAATACCAAAAGTTGTCACCTGTAGGATCGCTGCCAGATGCTGCACAATTTCTCAGAAGAATATCTATAAGTTTCAGGCCAATTTTAGTGGACTGCAGTCCTATCTTTACAAGCACAACTTCAATGTTTGGTGAATGCATTCCACAGTATGGTGACATCAGTAAGGCAGCACAAGTCTGCAGCAGATTAGCAGTAGGTGCGGCTGCACTTGCCATCATTCCTTCCAGATCACTTATGTGAGTAAGGCAATGATGTAATAACCGTAACCACCCAATGCTGAAACATGTGAAGCAAAATGATTTGTATAGTAAATCAAATTAGCTCAACTTATTTTAGGAGTAAAACAAAAACATTTGTAAAAGATCAGTGTGTCTCATAATCATCAGTCAAAGCTATTTTAAAATGTTACAAAATGAATAAGGAATAAACACACAGGAAGTGTGCCCTATATTAATAAAAATGTAAGTATGCTAAGTACTCAAATCACTTAGGAACTATGTACTTATTCATAAAGAAAAAACACTGGAACTGTTTTTACAAGTGTATTTATATATATTAAAATTTACTGATTAGGATAGAAACAAAGTCTTGGTACATTGAGAATAAAAATGAAATCCTTTTACAAAATAAAACCCATCTATAAAAACTTAAAATATCAAAAAAAAAAAAAAAAACCTTAAAAAAGTATTGAAGTTTACCACAAAAACACTAATAAAAATTTATATTCATGTTCTTCCTTCCCAGTGATGGGATTACAGGCATACATCATCATGGCCAATCTTTTAAAAAAAAACACAGAAAGTGTTTTTCTGTGTATGAAATAAAGCATACCTTGTTTTGGATACCTGATCTTCAGATGGAAGAAAGGGATTATTAACTGTTGCAGAAGAAGTGGTACCAAAAGCGGTGAGGCCCAATAGTTTAATCTGTGAAAGGCCCAGAGTGCTGGCATCTCGTGGACGATGTAGTCTAAGGCAGACTGCAGAAGCTACCTCGGCTTTTACAAGCTGAATTTTTATATAGGTTAGGCCACTTGTGACAACAGGAGTGGATAATGGTAGCATATTTACCCCATCTGCACTTACTTCAACAGACACTGAGGATGGGCAAGCTATAGAAGACAAAATTGAACATTCACAAACAAAAAAGTTAACTAGATGTCAGTCTTTAAAATAAAAAAAAGAAATCAGTAACACAGCAGCTTTCAGCTACATTCACATATGAAAAGAAAGTTTATAGAACAAATCATACTTTGTTGTCATGACTTGCCTCATAATTACTTCTGGAGGTATATTCCAACATAAAAAAAAACCTGATCCATGCTATAATTTTTAAAAGTACTTAAATATTCTAATATTTATCTAAAAACAGTAACTGAAGGTTGCAATACACATGTACTTCATAGTACACGGGTAGGGGTACGACCAACCAAATAAAATTGGTTTATTATTTCTACTTTACTCAAAAATATTATAAACATAGGACTATAATTAATGAATACACTATGGATTACACTTTTAAATACCTTATTCTTCTACAAACTATCAAAGTTTGTATTTTGCCAAGTTTGTATTTTGTTGCTGTTATTTGTTTAGTTTTTAGACAAGGTCTTCCTATGCAATTTTCTCTGCCTTAAACTTGCTTACAAAGTCCAGGGTGACCTCAAAATCACAGCAATTCTCCTGCCCCAACAACCTCATGAGTGCTGGGATTACAGGAATGCACCACCATGCCTGGCAACTGCAAATCTTTTTAAACAAACTTGAAACTCATAGGTAAGTTCAGAAATTGTTTTCATCTTTATTTATCTGTTTCACTTTCAAAAGTGCCAGAGATTTAGCTCAGAGGTATAAGAGACTGTCTGGCAAGCGCAAGGTAGTGAGTTTGATCTGCAGTAAATCAAAACTGAAAAATACTTTCCTGAGATTTTTACAAAATGAAACTGGGCATGGCGATGCACTGCACTCACGTAGCTGAGACATGAGGATTGTTGTGGGTTCCAGGCCAGCCTGGGCTACAAAGTGAGCTCAAGGCCAGCCTGAACTGCATAGCAAAACCCTGTTCCCAAAAGACCATATATAAATAAATAGGACAGTTACTTTAGGAAAGGCAATTCTTCCCAGCATAACAAGAAAGTCCATCTATTATAAAAACATATCTCTTGGCTAAAACAAATTTGACACTTGGTTTTAATTTCTTTTTGGTACTAGGAGTCGAGTTGAGAGCCTTGCACTTGTCAAGCAGGTGTTGGACACGCTGAACTACATCTCTGGCCATGATTTAAATTTTAAATTTAATCTTTTGAGAAAAGCATTAACTATATTTTACATGAACAAAAATACTGAAATAAATGAATGTGAATTCCGCTAAATACTTTCAAGTATAAGCTTGATTCTAAAACGATAGCCAGGCAGGGTGGAGTGCGCCTGTAATCCCAGCACTCAGGAAGCTCATGCAAAAGGATTGTTGTGAGCTTGAGATCAGTCTGAACTACCCCGTGAGTTCAAGGTCAGGCTGAATGATATACTAAGACCCTGTCTCAGCAAACCAAAAATAAGCAAATAAATAAATCCTATATTATTTCCACTGAAGCACAACATAATGTTTATGATCTAATCCAATATCAAACTCTTTCATTAAGGACATGGACTCACCTTATTTCTAGTTGAAAGTAAACGTCCTTATTTTACAATTTTCCTTAGCTGATATTGTTTGACATTTGCCTTTTAAAACTTATTTTTGGCTTTTTCCTCTTCTTTTTTTTGGCTTTTTCGGTTTTTATCGGTACCAGGGATTCGAACTCAAGACTGCCTGCTTGCAAGGAAGGTGCTTATGCCGCTGAGCTAAATCCCCAAGCCCTGTTTTTCTCTTTTTAAGAAAGGGTCTGACTATGCTCTTCAGGTTGCCCTTGAGCTCACTTTGCAGCTCAGGCTACCTCAAATTCACAATGATCCTCCTGCCTCAGCCTCCCAAGTGCTGGGATTACAGACATGCACCATCACGCCCAATTTAAAACATACTTTGAACTACTAAAATAGCATTATTTGTTTAATTTCCCTACAACTTTATTTTAATAACATGCTTTGCTCTAGTATGAGTTCCACAACTAATTGGGATCTAATATTAATCTCGCAAATAGAAAGGTTATTCTTTCAAATATGCCAAGAACCTACAAAATTTCCTATAGCTCTAATTGCAATTGATAGCAGTGATAATTGATCAATGAAAATAAAATGTAATAACTTGGAAAATTCTATAGGATTTACAATGAAAGTATTTGTAAACCATAGAATTGCACACTAGTATTTTGCATGTCTGCTCTACTTAAACTGTAATTTTCTAAAAATTATTTGGAGTTACTTACAAAGTGATAAAAGATATTCAATGAATAACCTCAAATGACTCATACAATATTAAGATACAGTATTATAAAATTCTGAGTAAAGGTACTTTTGGATTGGAAAGGGCATCACAGAGGGTAGAAGGGGAGATATGTATGCAGATAAAGGAAGAAAATGTAATTACATATCTCTAAAAATTAATGTAACTATTATGTTACAAACATATACTAATTTCTACATTTATTAAAACATGTGAAAAAATACATATGCCAGTAAGAATTCCTTAGTTAGTGATGTATGTAATTCCCAGCTTCTAAATGTCAGATTAAAAGGTAGCATAATTTATCCTCATAAAATACTTCTTTCTGGGGCAGCTACTAAGTAAAGGTCTGTTCTGTGGATAGTCCCATGCTGACTGTGACTTATCTCTGATCTAAGCCATTTTCTGAGAATACAGAACTAGTACACCTGCACAAAGGAAGCAATGGGGGTCACATCTGTTTATTTCTTGCAGGAATGTACCTATGTTATAATAAAAACTACATAAAAAGCTATTACAAAATTTAAAACCACACCCAAATATTAAACATACTACACTCAAAACATAATTTAAAAATTATTTCTTATAATAGAAGTCGGGACACACACAAATCTATGCCAACTCCACATTTCAGGGTTACTACTGTGTGGATTAACTTATTCTGGCATAATATATAAGCCTGATAAATCTAGAAAAAAGGAAAAGTAAAATAATATATAGCTTTCTCTAGATTTGGATTTATGTAACTTTACTTTTTTTTAGATTCTCTATATCTCTAGATTTCATCAATCTCTAGAGTGTGGAAAAAACCCTGTTGCTTTAGTTCATGGAAAACATATTGTTTGCTAAGTATTTTTTCATTTCTAACTATTTCTAAATTATAGCTTATTTTATGATGTTTTATAAAATATTACTCACTTGCAAGAGATGCAAGATGAGGCTGGATATGAATCTCTTTAAGCAGCACTGCTGAAGGAAGGTGGATGGTAAGGTCACACCAAGCCTCCTCTGGAAGAAAGATATATGACCAAGCAGCAGAGCGGGCTCTTCGATGGGGCGGTGTGGCCTGCAAAAGCACTTCAGCAGGTTGGGCAGTGGGACTACTAGATGTGATTGTACCTATAGGAGACATTTGAAATAAAGTAAGAACATGCAATAAAGCATTAAGAATCATTCAACATTAAGACCTAAAAACATGAACAAGACATGTAATTAACCGGCAAGGGAAAAAGTTCAATATTCACATGACAAATGAAAACTAGAGACAACAAATCTAGCAAAATCATCTTCAAATGATTTTAGTACACAACTATAGCCAATGTATTCTCTATGTTGAAAATGATCTTGAATTACAAATAGGAAAGAAATATAAGGAACAAGTCCTTTGAAACTAGCATTTAAAGAAAAAAATGTACTAAGATTTACTATTTAGTTTTATAAAGTGTGCTAATTAAACTTCAAAGGGAAGTAAACTTTATTGATAAAGAACTAATGAAACCTTCATTCTATTCAGTAAAATGCTTTTCTGTTTAGGGCCAGGGATTTAGCTCAGTAAGTATAAGTGCCTGCTTGGCAAGTGTGAGATTATGAGTTTGATTTTTGGTACCAAAAATGAAAATAAAAAATAAAATCAACTGTTTATGGCTGGCATTGGTGGTGCATGCGTATAATCCCAGCACTCAGGAGGCTGTGGCAAGAGGTCAACAGTAAATTCAAGGCCAGTCTGAAGTCCACATAATGAGTTCGAGACCAGCCTTACCTACAAAAGAAAACCCTGTTTCAAAGAAAAATTAAAAACTAACAAAAATAAAAGTAAAATAAAATCAACTGAAAACTTTACAAAATCACCTATCATAGAAATGGTGGCAGTATAGTATCAGTGTAATTCAACAATTTATTTTGCTTCAGCTTCATATCACCTACATAACTAAATAAATTCACGATAGTAAAACACAATGAACTTTCCCTACCTAGGGGTGCAAAGTTATGGATCCCTTCTGCATTGTCAGGTTCAGAAGCTAATATTCTTGTCTTCAAGGTGCTGTCAGCAGCTTTATTTGGACCAGAATCAAGAAATTTCATAATAGTTGAAACCATACTTCTTGCAGTATTCACAATAGCCCTTGTACTAGTAACCATATTGTTACAAATGAGCTGAACACCACCTATGTTTACAAAGAATACAAAATGAAAACTCTTATGGTACATGTCCTGGCATCAAGTGACAACTTCACAGAAAACACAAAAACATAAACATAACATAGTACACCAAATGATTACACTTACATCATAGTTTTGAGAATTTTATCTTACCCATATCATGGAATGCTTTCAATGCATCACTAGTATCCAATACTCTCAAAATGAACCACAACAATGGTTCTGATAACTGGCAAGTTGCAAGAGAACCCTTAAAAAACAAAAAAAAAAACCAAACATATACTGTGATTTTATATCTTCCTTGTGAATTAAGACTGTATGTCTCATTGCACAGAATCTTTATTATAGCTTTTTTTATCTAGTATGTATCTTTAATATGCATTTATTTATCTGACAGTTTCTTTGAAAAATCACAATTTTTGTATTTTCCAAATAAAGATATACATACATTAGACAATGACAATTACACATGAACATATAAAAGATTGCATGAAATTTTTAAAATTTGTATTTGAAAACTGGTAAATAGACTGTTAAAAATCAACAGGCTCCTGTAATTTCATTTTTTTAAAAGCAAAAATAATCTGATTTCTTTATAAAATCACCCTAATTTCTTTCATATGAGAAGAAACTATGCAACATAAATCTATTTTTAAAAAATGTTAAGTTTTCTTACGTAACATACAGAAATAACATCTTTGGCATTCAACTGTGCTATTTTTAAGGAAAAGGCAAGAAATAATGTTTTGAGATTATAAAAGGAAGTCTACAATGTTAGACACCACATTAAATGTTTTACTTTTATACCACTGTGGTCACCTGGAAGTATAACACTTTAAGAAATTTACTCTCGGGGCTGGGGATTTAGCTCAGTGGCATAAGCGCCTGCTTTGCAAGCAGGCAGTCGTGAGTTCGATCCCTGGTACCGATAAAAACAAAAAAGACAAAAAAAAAAAAAAAAAAAAAAGAAATTTACTCTCTATCCTTTATTTATAATCTACCATATTCACTTACAGATACTTGTGATTTTTATGTATCACATGAATATAGATTTGACTCTGACCTATGCAATTTTCTTATTATCAACAAAGTACTTAAATCTCTTCAGCTATTACTAGATTGAACTTACTTGTCTCCCCATGTATCCACAGGCCATGTAGGTCAATATTGGCTGCAGCATCATGTGAACTGTAGAAGCTTTTTTACTGAGAGTTGTCAATATGGTAAATAATCCATCACCAACAGATATGGCATCTAACCCACCATGAAAGTTTTCATGTTTGGTGAGATGTAATCCACTTGCACCTAGTTTAAATAAAAATTGAACATTTACAAAACAAAATTATATCCTGATGAATCAATACTAATCAAGAGTCTTCATAGCTAGTTTTTCCAATCCACTGAAGAATTACAGGTACACCACAGTTACAGAAACACACACCACTACAAATTACAATGTGTAGACAAAACAAAAACAAAAACAAAAACAAAAACAAAAAAGGGGCTGGGGATTTAGCTCAGCGGCATAAGCGCCTGCCTTGCAAGCAGGCAGTCGTGAGTTCGATCTCTGGTACCGATAAAAACAAAAAAAGACAAAAAAAAAAAAAAAACAAAAACAAAAAACAAAATTACAATGTGTATAAAATGTTCAGTGAAAAGCATAATTTTTAGATAATTTATAACCCTAATTGTTGTCTGTAATGAAAAGAAGTTACTCTACATAATGACTAAGGGAATATCATTCTACGTAGTAGCTTTGCAAGACAAAGAAAATGAAAAATAATTTCATTCTATTATATCTAATTTACAAGGTATACTGGCAAAGAAACACTAAAAGCCAAAATACATCTGAACTTCTGTTTAAAAAACCTAAATACACTGATTTCCAAAAATGTAGAAAAAATTAAAGAACATACCAGTTTTATATTGATATGTATTAAAGAAACTGTTATACTTTGAAAAAAATTCTACTTCAAATTCTGTATACCAAAAAGATTGGCAACATAGAACTGTATAGTGTATCTGAGATACAAATAGGTAAGATAGATAGGTCTTTTGTCACTTTTAACTTAACTAGCTATTAGTTCTTCTGTTAGTATTTATCAGTACTTTGAAACTGACTCATAAATATTTTAAATATTTCATTCTTTAAGTAAAGCCACTCTAAAATCTTCGCTAATACAAATCATTCATGACTAGAAATATACAATAAAGTAGTCTTACATTATAAAGTAAAAAGAACATAAGTATAGTGCCAGAAACAAGTATAAGATTAATCTTCTTAATACGTACCAATTATCATTGCCATGGCACTGCTATTACACAGGCCTAGAGCAGACAAAATCTGGCTCATAATCTGTTGGTTGGCTAAGACTAAGTCAGCGACATATGCAGGAGATCCGGGAATATTGGTGCAGCTTCCATTGACATCTTTCCCTCCTGAAACTTTCTCTTCGTCTGAAACACTATCTGTGGTATTGGCAGTTACAGATACTCTTGCACTATACTCCCTATTGCCTGAAAGAGGTAGCTGTACTAAAATGTTAACAAGCTTTAATAAATCAAACATAAGTTGATCTCTTGTCATTTCACCACAAACGGCTTTTGCGTCACCTGGGCGAATGAGGTTGGCAAAGAGTCCCCCAAAACATGCTCGAGCACCCACAGAGCTATCAGATCCACTTCTAGACATTACTTTGTCTGAGCAAGTAATATAGTGGTGAACCAAAAAGGTGACAGATTCTATCACAGCAGAAATAGTACTAACTGAAACAACTTCAAAATTCTGCTCCAGAGTGAATTCTAAGAGCTTCACTTGAGCATCAAGAGGTCCTTGGCCTGTCTGGAAGGCACCCCTGTAAGAGATTAAAAATGAAAATCACCACCATCCAAGAAAGCTGAAGGCTTAGACGCTCAGTATTCATTATTTGAATTGCTAGGTACATTTCCGTATCTTCTTGTTCATGCCTCTATTTTATGTAAAATCCAAAACAACCTTTCCAAATTGAAAACCAATGGATAAGTAAAATTTAAAAAGAGATGTTAAAGCTACAGATTAGGATACTCTTCGAGTTTTTTGGATTTAGGACCTTGGTTAAATCGCTCAGTCTGTGCTCAATCTTGAGATCTTTCTGTCTCAGCCTCTTAGTACTGAGTGAGACTGCAGGCATTTGTCACTAGACTCAGGTTTCCTATGCTTTTAATTAATTTTTTGTTTGTTTCAGAATTTTATGAGACAGGGTCTCACTACATAATTCAGGCTGCCCTCAAACATCTGGCAATCTTCCTGCCTCAGCCTTACAAATGCTGGGATTACAGACATGAGCCACCATAGCCAGTCATTAATTTTTAAAGTCATGTAAGATACAAATAATTGAAGCATTTTGAACTTTATATACACGTTAATACACACACACACACACACACACACACACACACACACACACACAGAGGCATGTAGGTGGGTGGTGGGGATTGATCTCAGCCAAGATGTTGTGAATACAGGGCAAGTACTCTACAAATGATCTACAACCCATAGTCCCTATTTTGTTAAAAATAAAGTTAAATGATAAAAGTGGAAACAGCCTCTTTTATATATATTGAGAATTTTTAAAAAATAACTCAAATGCCAAAATGTCTTATATAGTTTACTGTAACCCTAAATAAAGTACCACTTCTCTTTGAGACCATTAAAAGTTTTCACCAGAAAATACTGTTGGATTTTATGAAATGTCTTACTTACTGATGACAACGAAGCACTGATGCAAGTTATAAGAATCAACTAAGTCTGGTCACAATTTATCATCTTAACATACTGCCTGATTTTGTTAACAAATTTATTTAGGATTTCTATATGAGATTAATGTTGCTTTTATGCAATCATATCAGATTTTATCATATAAAAGTAACTAATACATTGTTTGACTCTGTATTTCAGAGCAATTAAACCTCAAAATAAATTATACCTAGAAAGTTCATAACAACTAAACAGTGAAGCCATTAAAAGCAGATAAAAGTTTTATGCTCTGTATTTCTTTCATACAGTAGAAAATTCAGGGACTTGAAAGAGGCAAAATGTGAAATGAAATGAAGTGAAATGAAAATGGTAGAAAAGTACACCAAAGCCCTTTTTTTCCAAACCGCTAATCTCTCCTGTCCTACTGGCTGGTTTCCAGAAAAATCCCAATGAAATGTTAAAGAATATTTGGAGAATTATGTTTCTTGTGTATCAGTACATAAAAATACATTGGATTTTACCTTTCTGTTGAAAGTATATGAATTAGCTTGAGCAAAAATTCACTGAATATCTGAGGACATGTTGAAGACACATGCACTTGTAATCGGGTAAGAAATTCTTGCATCGCTTGTGTAGCGGTTGGTCCAACCTAAAGAGAAATGCATATCCACTGATAACTGCTTACTGATACTATTTACACTTAAAAAAAAAAAAAAGCTACTTTTTAATACTTTCTATTAAATATCTTCATAGTTTTATTTTACAAATAAGTGTTTGCTGAAACCTCTGTACATATTACTAGTATTACCTGTGGACTGTGTTGATTTGTTCCATGTGGACTGGTACCAGAAAGAAATTTTACTAAAACATGAATAAGGTTTGGATCTGAAACCAACAAATGAGCAGTACTTTCTTGAGTTCCAATGGCAGTGCTGGAACCAGCTATAAAAATAAATATTAAAATATGGTCTCAATCAATGCACCATAAAAGAATGAGACACATTGTTTATAAACATGTTTAATTCCAAAAAACCATAGTTTGAGAATTTCCATCTCTATTGACAGACCTAGATTTCATTCTCTCATTTCATCTGAAGCTAATCACCTCTGACTTCTTTTTTTGAAACACATTGAGTTCAAGGTGCTTTTTCTTTAAAACCCAAGTAAGTGGGGGAACAACAAAATACTTACTGTCCTGTTACAATCTATTGCAGAAAGTGGAATAGATCTACTTCTCACCTAACTTTTAACTCAGTTTGCTAAGAGTTAAGGGGGTTAGTTTTACATAGGTTACATAGTATGAATTAAGATATAGTCAACAAACCAGTTATCTGGGCTGAATAAAACACTCTTCTATTAAGTCTATCTTCACTAACACTGGTATTTTTTAAATCATATTTTTGGGAAATAAACTCCAAACAGAAAGACAGTAATAATTTGATGCTGAGCAATGGTTTAAGTAACAGCTTTATTAATGTGAAATATCTCTTTATTTAATAAAGCTATTCTTCAAGAGATAAAAATATATCCACCTACAAACTAAATACAATGTACTTCAAAGAAATTCAACCATTTATAGAACTATAACTCTTCTTAAATAGAAATATACTTAAAAATCTGAAACCAAGAATATTAAATATATGTCAGAGATTGAAATAAGCTTTTAAACTTACAATTAAGCTGCATATTTGTCATAAGTGTTAGACTGTGAAGCACAAGGCACCACGTCCGGAGCAAAGTATTCGGATACCAAGCTAGCACTGTGAGAAAGCTAGTTATTGATGCTATGAAAAAGAGACAGAGAAATATTTTTTACTCAAAAATAACTATTTGTAAGAATTAAAAAATTAAATATTTTAAAAATCACATCAGTAATATCCTCAAAACAAATAAAAAGAGCTTAAGTATAACAAAAATATTGAGTCAGTAACATTATGGCAAGATACAAAGCTGGATGATACGTAAATTTGATGTTATTATTACACATCTGTTTTACTTTCCAAACTATAGGCATTTCTATTCAATACAACTTAGGCTATTTAAACCCCTAACGTTCTCCAAAATCAAAAGCTGAAAATAAGACAAACTGGAAAAACACGGAGAAGGATAAGATCAAAGACAACCAGTGCAAGCCGTAAGTGATGTGCATACCTGTTAACGTAGAAGGCTGAGACAGAAAGATTACAAATTTGACATTATCCTAGGCAACTTAGACACTGACTTAAAATATAGAAATATTTAAATAGAGCTTGAGATGTAGCTTAGTGCAAAGGCCCTGATTTCAATCCCTGGGTACGGTCAGGGAAAACAAAACAATGAAAACAAATAAACAAGTCTCATCAAAATCACAAAGTAAAACAAGTGATCAGTAAATTTAGAAGACCAACAAAGGAAGAACTAACAGCAAGTGTGAAAACTAAAGAAGTCATTAATGCATGGCACAACAGTGCAAACAGATTTTAAAATATTAAGAGATGCTAGCCATTCCCCTTAACTCAGCACCATTCGCAGACTGTTGGGAGGGGAAAGAACAAGAAGTCACCAAGAAGCAAGCCCTCCCTGCGGCACCATGTGCGGACTACCAGGGAAGAGAGCCAGATGACAGCCCCTTTCCTTACAGGGTCCGGGAAACAAGAAGAGCTAAACTCTTCCCTGTTCCACTATAAGCCCCTGGCTGGGCCAGAGAAACACAGGCTGTGATGAGAGCTACTGAGGTAAAATACAATTTAATGCTTATAGTATTTAGTGTACGTTCGACATGGCAGGTCTAGAACTGGTACTCTGATCATCTGTTCAGAGGATACCAATACACAGTGTAGTATCTATGGAGGATCTCCATCTGAAGATGGTGACCATTCTTATTCCCTATTATTTTATTTTGAAGTTTTGTACCATTTGCATTGTTTTGTCGGGTTGGGTTTTATTCTGTTTTTTATTCTGTTTATTATATACAACGGCATAGGCAACTATTTCAAAGACAACAAAATATATTATGGTAGCCATTTTGGATCTACTATTATCTTATTTTGAAGCCCTTTACTGCATTCATTGTTGTTTTTATTGGTTCTATTCTGTTTTATTCTGATTTTTTTAATATATCTGAAGGTATGGGCAACTATTTTAAAGACAACAAGAGGAAGTATGGTAACCATTGTTAATTTCCTATTGTCAAGTCCTATTTCACTTAGACTGGTTTGTTTTGATTGGCTTTATTCTGTTTTGTTTTGCTCGGATATTCTTTTCAAAAAAAAGGTGATTCAGCCCAGTGTCGTGGTATACATCTGTAATCCCAGCAATTGGGAGGCTGAAGTACGAGGATCACCAAGAGTTCCAGGCCACTACACAGTGCACTACACAGTGAGACTCTTATCTGAAATAAACCAAAATGGTGCTTCTTCCAGGCATGTTAATGCATGCCTGTGATCCCAGCATTTAGGAGCCTAGGGCAAAAGGTTCCTAATGAGTTCAAAGACAACCTGGGATATATAGTGAGTTCAAGGCCAATCGGAACTACACAGTGAGACCTTGTCTGGAAAAAACAAAGCAAAATGAGTGATTCTACATCTATAAAAGAAAATAAAGGAATCTGTAATATGTATTATGGCAAAATTTAATGAAAACACAGAAATGTATTTTAAAAACTGAAAAAAGCATTTTACTGGGTAGAAATGCAACAATTTCAGTTCCAAGTTTAAAAATTAGTACCACAGGAAATGTTTTTAAATTCAAGAATTTATACAAATATTCATTAGGAAATGGCTAACTAGATGATTATCATTCTGAAATTTCTAATTGCTAATAGGTCTAGGCAGTATGCACCAATGTCTACAAATGACATGAGAAAAAAATAAGTAAATCATAAAAATTCCTTTTAGAGAAACAGAAACAGTTCACCCTTCAGCAGCATATATACTAAAAAGACAACAAACAAAATTCCCAGATCAGATTAAACTCTTGGGGTAACCATCAATTTATACAGAACACCTAAAACACCAGGGAGATACATCTATACACACACACAAGCCAAACTCAGGACCCTGTGAACCATGGAAGACAAACCATCAACCTTCTCTGGTACACATCTTGGCAGAGAGAAGGAAAGAGAAGGGGGAAGAAAAAAATGGGGGAAAGCTATAGCAATTAAGATGAATTTAAGAAACACTCAAATGTTTATATTTTATATGGATTATATTTCAAATAAAAGTTTCATAACAGTTGAAATAAATTGATACTTACCAGGTGTCTAATGGTAGTAAGCAAAAGAAATTCTGACACTTCTATTTTTGTATACAACATTTTTCACAGTAAGTTAAAAGTTGAGATGATGGCAAATTTATAATAGTAATTATTATTACTACAGTGTAAGAGAAATTTTCTAAGAAAAGGTAAGATTAGCTGGTATAGAGACAAAGCAGATATCAGTAGAGTATGAAACAATGGGCATGTCAGCTTTTGTTTGTTTTTTTGAGAAAGGGTCTCACTATAGTGTTTGAGTTGACCTCAAACTCACAATGCACTTAGGTTGGCCTTAAACTGATGGTAATCCTCTTGCCTCAGCCTCCTGATTCCATGCGATTAGAGATGTGCACCATGAATTATGGCCGTTATCACTTTTAAAGTTGGAAGCATGACAAAGTAATTGCCAACCAAGATACAGACATATCAAGTTAGGGTGCAAGTACCAGGAACAGATATGCTTATTTAAGTTTTCGTAAAATATAGCTAACATAGATTACTACAGACTAAGTTAAAAGGCTAATTCTTTTCCTACTGAAAGATTTTATGTAACTTTCATCATTCCCAAGCTATTATTTTGTGAAATAAATGGACACACTTTCTCTGGTTGAGTAATTTCCCCAGGTGTAAATTCATATTTTAAAAACAAACAAAAAAGGGGCTGGGGAATTTAGCTCAGCAGCATAAGCGCCTGCCTTGCTAGCAGGCAGTCGTGAGTTTGATCCCCGGTACCGATAAAAACAAAAAAGACAAAAAAAAAAACCCAAAAAGGACTGGGTGGTACCGTATTTGTCTAACAACCACAAAGCCCTAACACTGAATCCCAGGAACCACAAAGCAAACAACTGCAATTATTTGTTATAAGAATGTATACTCTGAACAAGATTAAACTAAGAAAGTACAAGGTGAGAGTTAATAGAATGTTACACAGTTTAACTGTACAAGTGCATAAAATACCATAGACCAGGAAAAAAGAACTTTCTGTTCTCCTTCCTGCTTATTAGTCAATGAATTAAAAAAAGTCCCTTCCAACATTATAATCTTAATGACAAAGATTAAGTATATTTTAAATTAATTAATATCTCCCTTGAAGTATGTTATTTATACTTATACTAATGGTAAAGTAATAAATCTTACCTTGATTTAATGAAATGACAGGTATTCGATTAGCATTATATAAAAAAATGTCAGCTCCATTCTCTTTGTTTCCAGATGAACTAGAATTCAGACTTAATGTGAGCCACAATTGGAGAAGTGACTCCAACTGAAAAAGAATGAAAATTTTAAAATATTTATATATATACCTTTTATATTATGACGTACCATTTTAGAAAACCTAATATTTAAAACTTCAGTATGAGTTAAAAATCTTTTCTATTAAATATCTTCGGGGGCTGGAGATTTAGCTCAGCGGCATAAGTGCCTGCCTTGCAAGCAGGCAGTCATTTGAGTTCGATCCCTGGTACCGATAAAAAGGAAAAAGACAAAAAAAAGAAAAACAAAATTTTTCTCCAGGTATCTCAATCGATCTGAAAAGTAAACCTATCTTAAAGTTCTTGAAGAAACAAAATTTAAGTGAATTAAACCTAGTACAACAGGAACTAAAGCCTTAACGCTTTAAATTATAAAAATTAAAAATAACCCATCACTAAGGAGCTGTGATTATTAAAATATTTCCAATACTTTCCCAAATAAGTGTAATAAAGACTTCATGTATGTCAGGTTGTGAATGAGCTTCTCATTTAATTACATTTGTTAGTGTGTTATCTAACACATCTCAAAATACATCATTTCCTTCTGAAATCATACCTGAACATGATGAACTTGAAGCATAGAAAAAAGTTTGTTGAAACAAACATTTAACATTGGGACCGATGATAATTGTATAATAAGCTGGCTGGCTTGGTTTGCTGCTTGTAATCCCCCAAGAAGTGAATCATCTGTTCCTGTAGGAGACTGGGATACTGAAAAATCAAAGACAAGTATGGTTTTAGATACAAAGTTTCAAAAGCCATGTTAAGTGGTCACTGATAACGTACACATAGATAAAAATAACTTCTTAATTAAAAATCCATTAGTAGAATGGTTCAAAATTATACTCTAGAATTTTAAAAAGCTGCTTTCCTAACATTGCTTGAACATAAAAAAGACAAGAGAGACAACTCCTGAATTTATAGGACTCATCAAGTAAAGGAAAACAACCAACTTTCCAGAAAATTTTCCTACTAAATGAAGAGAAAGAAAGAACTCTGACTAGTTATGCAGAAAGAAGTTTTAAAAGTTTTTCAGACTACACACTTAATTGATTCTGAACACTGACTGCATATCAGGGTCACCTGGGAAGTAGGTTTTCAAGGGTACTGATGCCCAAGTTACATGCCAAACTAGTTAAATATAACTATACTAATGGGTAACAAAGAGGTACAGAGATAGTAAAAAGGTTTTTCATGTATTTTAGAATATTATCTAAAATTAGACAAATCTATCTACACAACAATAATCAGCAAAATATTAAAAGAAGCAGACAATTTCAAAAATATTATCTAAAGCCAGGTGTGGTGGCTCACACCTATAATCCCTGCACTCAGGAGGCTGAGGCAGGAGGATCCTTGCAAGTTCAAGACCAGCCTCACAGCCTAGTGAGCTCAAGGCCAGCCTGAACTGCACAGCAAGACCCTGTCTCAAAAAGACAAAAAAAAAAAAAATATATATATATATATACATATATATATATATATACATATATATATAAGTATATATAATATAATATATAATATATAAGTAAGATGTTTTCAGGTTGCAGTATATAACAATGAAATGGGCTACTTAGGAATATTCAATTTTTTTATGATCAAGCAGAAACTGGAACATACAAAAGAGATTGCCATATTATATGGAAAAAAGATACAGTAGTACAAAAATATTAATATGTTAGGACACAAGGCAATCCTTTCCATGTTTTGACATGTTTCTGTATTTTAAAAGGCAGGACATAAATGCCACTTACAAACTGAAAGGATACAAACTCATAAAGATCTGATCCTGAGGGCCAGAGATTTAGCTCAACGGATTTAATACCAGCCTGGCAAGCGCAAGGTGGTGAGTTCGATCCCTGATACAAAAAAAAAAAAAAAAAAAAAAAAAAAACCGCAAAGATATAATCCTGAAAATTCCTCTCCTTCACAGAAGAAGTCTTCTGATCTTCCTGGGTACTATCCAATATCTCAGTCCTTTACTCAGACCTACAGAAAGCAAAGTAGTAGTCTAAAGCCCTTAAAAAAAAGAAAAAGAAAGAAACCAATGCTGATTGTGATGGCACACATGTAATTCTACTGAAGCAAGAAGAGAGCTGTGAGTTTGAGGCCAGCCTGAAAACACAGCGAAACAAAGGCGAGACTGAACTACATATAAAGACTCTGTCTCAAAAAATAAATAAATAAAAGTAAATTAAAAAAAAAAAAAGTCTTCTCTATAGACCTCCTCAAACTTTATTTTTGCTAAATAGGGTGCTGGATTAATGTAGTTCAATGACTGGAGGAAATCTACATAAGCCTAGTATGTCACAACAATAATGGCCTAACCTAGAAAGAGACTGGGGAGGGGGGTATAATCAAGGATTAAACTCAGGAGCTCTCGTTTACCATGGAAAGCATTGAACAACTGAGCTATAAATACCAGGTTAAGAGACATTATTTCTGTAACGCATCCAGAGTGATGCACTGTCTATAGCTGCTTTCCAACTCTCAAGTCAGAAATGAGTATTTCAACACACACAATGCAACAAGCAAATGAATGATTTATCCTATTTTTTATGAGAAAAGTCTGTTTTTTCTGTAAATAGGTAATTAATATTCTCAATTAGCAAGGTTGTTAGCAAGCCCATGTGGCTGTCATTCTACACCCATACCATCTATCTTAGTCTTCCAGGGTCATAAAGATAGGTCTGCATGGTATACACTATAATTCTATCACTCTGGGAGGTTGAGAAGGGTGGATGGCCAAGTTCAAATCCAGCATGGACAACTTGGTAAAACTCTACCCTAAATTTTTTTAAGTGTAGGTGTTAGGAGGAAAAGGCTAGGAATGCAAAACAATGCAAAAGCCCTAGTTTCAATCTCCAGTGCAATGAAAACGAACAAGTCCTTAGGAAGGTGAAAAAGAAAGATGGTAAGCTCAAGACCATCCTGAGCAACGTAACGGTTTCAAAATAAAAATTCCATTTCATCATAGACTGACAAGGCAAGTAGGAAGCATCATAAGCTTCCCTAGAAACAGTAATTTTATTGACAAAAAAAGAAATAAAAACAAAAAAACGTTATCATGAACCTCCCAACATCACAATAATAAAAATGAGTTTTGGATCAAATTTAAAGAACTGCAAGAAATTCATTAATGCTCTGTCATATTTCTCAGCTTGATACTAACTTAGAGGAAGAGAGATGTTACATACCGAATTTCCTCAAATTCATACTAAGCATGAAGGTTTAAAATCTGTCCTTGCTTAATTCACTTGAAAATAATCAATAGACAAGTCATTCATTGTAATTCTCTAACAATGGTTATTTTACTTACACATAGGAGATGTATTGGTTAATGCCTGTAAAATGGAATCTGCTTCCAGAGTAGACATCATTTTCAACATAAGTTCTGCTTGTTGTTCTAGTCCAACTTCTAGGCGAGCATCCAAGGCTACAAAACCAATTAAGAAGAAAGAATATATATGACCCTAATTGTCACTCATGTCCTACCTCCTATAATAAAAGGCAAACATGTGAATCCATAAAAGGGTAAGCAGAATGCCTTTGCAGAAGGACAGTATGGCAGGTGCTATCAAAATCACAGCTGAGAAACATGTGATAATGAGGTTACAGATAGGACACTGGTTACATAGAGATTATGTCAAGTATTGATAATAGAAGCAAATACATTCAGGAAAATGGACCAGCTTATTCAATTTAAAGAGACAGAAATATGGAAATGAGAAATAAAACACTAAATGTATCAATGTGAACTCATCACATTCAATACAGAGATTCAGATGTGCAGATACACACATAACAAAGAGTCCCTAGCTCTGTCCACCAAGAAGGCATGGAAACGGCCAAGAAAGTAGTAATAAGTATAGATAGCATCCAAATCTTAATTCCTTAAAGATACAGGTTTGCATTCTTTCACTACTTATAAAAGTAGCTAATTACCAGAGTGGGCAAGTACGATAAATTGGGGGGCATGTTTCGCTACAGTGAAAAAGTACTCAAAGAATGAAAACATGTTAAAGATGAAAGAATTAATTAAAGGAAGTGTTACTGGTCAAAGGTAGGCAATTTGAGTATCAAACCAATAGAGATAGTATAGTGAATGTACTGTATAACACAGATGCAAACAAAAATGGTAAAAATGGAACCAGAAATATAGCTCAGTGGCCTAAGGGCCTGGAAGGCCAAAAAAGAAGGAAAAATGATAAAATTTGTTCTTTACATTTTATCACAATAAAAACAAGCAACAAACAAATGATAACAAATTATAAACCTCAAAATAAAAACATTATAGATTCATTTAAAACTAAAAGAGCAAACCAATTCATTTAAAAACAAAAATGTGGTAAGGAATGGGACTATTTATAGTTTATGTCTACAAAAGTAGCTTTTTACAAAAGAAAACAAATTTTATAATGAAGCAGCCTTGCAGACACTTGCTAATCAAATGATTAAACAATACAATCAATAGTAGGGCAAATATAAGTCTGGACCTCCTAATCGGATGCAATGACAAAAAACCTGATCATTATTTCTGTGACGTTCCTGCCAACATGCATGAACTCAACCTAATCGTAAGAAAATAGCATAGACTTCTGGGAGAACATGGCGGACAGATAGCAGCAGCTATGGAGGCTCTCGGAAAGAACCAGCTTGGAATTCAGGAATGGTGCGGAGTAAGGAGTCGTGAGCAGGTGGAGATATGCCCTGCTGACCCAAGAACGAACTGGGCTGAGAGAAACCAACTTGGAGTGCAATCCTGGTGCTATAATAGGAACAGAAAAGCCTCAGTGTGGAAGCTGGAGCCCGCGACATTGAAAGCCACGATTTGGGTTTCCTGCTGCGCGGAGGCTGCGTCTAATCGGCTCAGCAGGGAGAGAGACGCGCAGAAGCTCTGAGAACCGGAATCGGCGAACGGAGTTAAAAACAGGACAGGCGGGAAGCTGTGCATTGACTTGCGGTGAGGTGAGTGAGAGAAACTGACACTCTTCCCACGGTTTGGGAGACTCCAACAGAGGACATTCTGGGACTGGGCAGTCTTGCGGGAGCAGGGCACTGCGGCGACTTCAGCCACGTATGCCCCTCTCAAACGGGATTGGTGAGAAGTGCCTAGCCTACGTGACACTGCTGGCGGAGACCCACTGGGCTAGCACAACCCAGACCCCAGAGCCTGAGGGTGGGCTGGAGGGGCGGGTCCCACGTAGGCTGCCTGGTCTGCAACTTCCTGGTGTGCCACGGTGGGCAGGAACACCTAGCCAGCGCAATTCAATCAGACTGTGGCTGACAGGAAAGGAAGCTGGGCCTCCTATATACACTTGCATATATAAAGAACAAAGAATATGGGAAGAGGGAGAAAAAAGAAAGGCCCCTCGGCCCCCAACCCTGAGAAACAGGCAACAGCGGACACCGCACAAATAGACATAAGGCACCATCTAGAGAGCCTCATAGATCAGTCCAGGAATGAAGTTATTAATGACCTGAAGCTAGAAATAAGCAGAATACTTAGAGAAATGCTAAGCATCACCCAAGAGAAAAAGGATGGTGGAATGGAAGATCAGAAAAAGAGGGGAGAATTGTTTGATGGAGAAAATAGAGAAAGCATAGATTACGTGAAGCAGGTTCAAAGAGACTACCAGGAAACTAAAAACTCTATCGAAAACTGGCATAACAGCTTGAAAGAAACTAAGGACAGACTATCTGAACTGGAGAGCAGATTTGTAATATGGGAGCATGAAATGAAAAACTTCTTAAAAGTAACAAAGAAACAAACAGCAATAATACAAAGACTAGAAGATGATAAGAGGATCCATAACTTAAGAATTAAGAAAAAAAAAGAAGTAGGGACACAAACAAATGAACTACAAAAGCTACTCACAGAAATAATCCAGGAGAATTTTCCTAATTTAGCAAAAGGTAAAGATACTCAGTTGTATGAAGCATACAGGACCCCAGCCACCTACAACCCAAACAGAGCAACACCCAGGCATATAATAATTAAAATTCCAGAAATTCAATACAAGAACAGAGTATTAAAAGCTGTCAGAGACAAGAAACAGACCACTTACAAGGGAACACCCATCAGAATTACAGCAGATTTCTCTGCACAAACCATCAAATCACGAAGAGCGTGGGGGGAAATAATTCAAGCTTTGAAAGATAATAATCTCCAGCCAAGATTGATATATCCTGCACAACTATCCCTGGAAATTGATGGAAAAACAAGGTGCTTCCAGGATAAAGAGGAACTGGGGGAATATGCAACCACCAATTCAACTCTTCAGAGAATACTACAGGATATTCTAAAAAAGAAAAATACAAAGAATCCAGAAATAGTGGCAGAGAAGCCACAATGAATGGAGCAGAAAATAAAATGAAGAAGACAAACTGACAACTAATGACAGAAAAAGAGCTCAACAGAAATGAGGCAGAGAAGATTGGATGATAGGAACAGCTTTTTGGAGAAAATGACGTCTTAATAGGTAATACTGATTTAGTATCATCTTGTTTTGAAGTCTCATCAAGCTTTTGTTCTTCTGAATCCATTGGTCTAAACAGGTTGTATACTACTGGATTTTATTATGTATGATAGTATAAGCAAAAACTTTTAAAGACAAGGAGATTATACAGAAACCATTGTTTGTTTTCTATTGGTTGATTCTAAATACCCTGTAATGCTGTCATTCTCTTAAATGGTTTTACATTGTTTTGATATATTTGATGCTACAGTATACGAAGTTATACTCAAAGATTTCAAGGAAAGAGACAATATGGTAACTACTTTTATGTCAGGATTATCTTGTGGTGAAACACTATTCTGCTTAAATGGTTATGTTTTGATCTGCACTGTTTTGCTGTTATGCCCTCTTTTATCTCAATCTCCACTTCATTATTTACTTTTTTATTTTTATCCTTTTAATTAAAGGAAAAATAAATAAAAAAGGAGGATATATTATAGTAACCCACTTTGACTTTCCATTATCTTGATTTAAAGCCCTGTATTGCTCTCACCATCTTGTTTTGACTGATGTTCCTCTATTCTGTTTTGCTTGATAGTACCAGGTTCGAAAGTATAGGCAACAGCTGTGAAGATAGTGGGATTCATTATGACGCCCATTCTGGTTGACTATTATCTACTTTTGAAGACCTGTAATGTCTCCAATGTTTTGGTTTTGTTGGTTTCGTTCTTTACTGTTTTGTTCAATTTTATTATAACTGATGATATAGACAATTCTATTAGAGATAGCGGGAGGCATTATGGTAACCATTGTTGATCACCTTGTATTATGCTTTTACATTATCTATTATGTCCACCCTTTTGATTTGATTGACTCTGTTCTGTTATGTCACATTTGGTTCTACTCCCTTCCAAAAAAGTAATAAGAACTGTGGGAGCAACAAAACCCAAAATGAGTAATTGTCATTGTACAAAAGAGAGGAAAAGAAAGTGCTCTAAACGATATAACTGCATGTATATATAAGTGTATAAGATACATAATGATATCACTGAGTTTTATTGGATCATTGAACAGAACTGTTTGCAGTCTCACTGTTGGAATGTCCATTTTACAAGCTTTAATTTTGAGACTTGAACAATTATTTCTAAGATGACAATATGTAATCCATTAACTAGTGATTTTCTACTGTTTTTTTCTGTAAATCTGTATAACTTGTACCCTTTCTGGTTTTTTTTCCTCCTTAAATAAAATTAAAAAAAAAAAAAAGAAAATAGCATACAAATCCAACTGAGAGATGTTGCACAAAATAACTGGCTTGTAACCTTCAAATCATCAAGGTATTGAAAATCAGCTGTGACAAACTATTGCCGGGAACAAGACAAAAGACACATGAGGATTAAATGTAATGCATGATTTTGCACTAGGTCCTTTTGCATAATGAACACTATTTGAAACAAGATATGGTGACACCCAGCACTCTAGGAGACAGGGGTAGAAGCATAGTAGTACACTGATTTCTAAGTTATGAATATTCTTCTTTTAGGATGGGGGTCAGGGATCAAACTCATGACCTTGTGCATGCTAGACAGGCACTTACATTGCTGAGCTAAATCCCCAGCCCTAATTTTGAAAATTCTTGATGTTTACAGTAGAGTGTCTATTTTTATAAAATGAATAAAACAAAAGTAACATCAGATTAGCAACCTTCAAATGTTTCAGGTTAACAAAGATTCTTTGCATGGTACTTACAACATTTGATCAAATAATTTCACATTTTGAAAATATTTTATTAAAAAATATTTTATTAAAAAATTAAGTCTATCTGATATAGTCTAACAGAAAAAAAGTAGTACTCAGTATGGTGTTATTCATAAAACAATTATTAAAACCAGAAAATTACAGCAAAGCAGAAATAATTAAAATCACTGCCAACTGCAGACAACCCATTATTTTTGAGAGAAACAGAAAAGTAAAGAAGCTTCCTCAAACCTAACAATACAAAAAAGAGCTCTAATTGGCATTCAGAATACAACTGTGATTCTAAACTCTCCCAACATGGAAACTCAATTTTTTTCAAGGCATAGAGTAGACATACATTTAGTACTTGTTGTAAGAATAGCATCTGTAGGTGCCCGGGATTTAGCTCAGTGGTCAAAAGTGCCTTCCTGACAAGCACAAAGTCATGAGTTCAATCCCTGGCACCAAAAAAAAGAAAAAAAAAAAAAAAAAGACAATAGTATCTGCCATCAAATACCCCCACAAATACTTACCTTGAGACACTGAAACACTAACTGTCTGCGAGCCATTCTTTTCTGTGTTTGTTGGTGGTTTTGCTACAGGAATGCCCAGACCTCCAATGTAAGGGTTGTAATTGTAGGTACCGTAATCAGCACCCCAATAATCATACCATGTGCTGCTTATTGGCTTAAAAGAATGAAAAAAAATTGTGGTTTATGTCTCTTTATTGAATGAAACATTTATATTATTTAAACCCAAACAACAGTCTTTCTTTGCATCCTTTAAATTCCCGCAATCCAATTATAATTTTAAAGAGTTACAAGAATGGCCCACCATCGATACCTTTCTGCCAAAATCTGAAAATATTTAAATAAACCTGAAATATAAACTGAGAGATGCTGGCACTCTCAGTAAAAACTAACATGTTGAGAGATCAGAGCCACTACGAAGTTAAAAAATACATCTTTTAGGGGCTGGGGATTTAGCTCAGCGGCATAAGCACCTGCCTTGCAAGCAGGCGGTCGTGAGTTCGATCCCTGGTACCAATAAAAAGGAAAAAGACCAAAAAAAAAAAAAAAAAAAAAAAAAAAAATATATATATATATATATATATATATATATATATATATACACACACATCTTTTAGAAGCAATAGCAGCTAAGATAAAAGTTAAATCTACAATGGGCTCAGGATAGATGAGCTTGAGTGGCCAACTGGCTGCATGAAATGCTAACAATGTATATCTCACTTCTGATCCTTACTAGTGGTTATTATGATACTTATTAAAAGCTTCTTTTTTTTATTGGTACCACAGATCAAGCTCACGACTGCGTACTAGCAAGGCAGGTGCTTATGCCACAGAGCTAAATCCGCAGCCCCTAAAAGCTATTTCAATAAAAATGTTTATTATATTCTACTAGATTGGTGTCTTTTTAAAACTACTTCAGTACCTATAGCAATTTAATGCATTGAGTATGCTGAATATTGGTTTTATATGTGGAAATAAATACATATATTTTCCCCCAAAGAATACTGTAATATAGTATACCTTAAAAACTTTGGCTGCAAGAGGATCCTTTTCCAAATCAATATCTAAAGGATCAATGTCAACTTCCATTAGATCTTGAAGCAGCTCAAGGTCAATTTCTTTGTCTTTTTCCAAAGAAGAGAGAGGAGGTGTACCTTCAAATAATTAAAAAGTGATTTCTATTGGTAGAGTGTATCAAATAAAAATGAAAGGATGTATTTCTTTTGAAAACAGAAAGAAATTATTATGCTGTATCTGAATGTAAAATATGATGTCTAGTTTTAAAATCTCCAATTTTTTACACTTACCAAATATTAAACAGTACACATATAATGGCCACAACACACAAAAAAAGCAATTTGATACTTGATTTCCTATAGAAAAACTCTTACTGAATGAATTTTGCTATTAAAAATAGTATTTCTAGAATGATTAAAATTGTTACATTCAATATGCAATTCACTATACAGCATTTCATCCATATTAAGATGTTATCCAGTGTAATAAAAAAAGTAAACTTTCATTTAACTTATCCTGTTACAAATCAGAAATTATTTTGTTCTCTAGGTTCTAAACGTTTTCTATCCCCTATTCATTCTCTCTCTTTCTTTTTGTTTTTTTAATACCTTACACTTGCCAGGCAGGCGGTTATGCCACTAACCTAAACCCTTAGTCTCTCCTTCTGATATTCAACATGTACTTTTAGAATTGTAACATACACTACCAGCCATTAGTGGATGTCATTCAGTATAATGAAGATTAGTAAAGCAAAACTACCTTCAATAGATTAATAAATGTTCAAAAGCCAGGATACACAAGAATCAAACTAAGCATGCAGTATATGCTAGAAAGATATTTGAGTATGCTAAGGGAGCCCTCAACTCTTGGAGGAGGGAATAATTTATGTGAATCCAAGATGAGGGACTCTTTATGCAAATAAAGAGAAAGTCTATTCCAGATGTTAGTAGTCTGTGATAATGAGTATTAGTCATTCAGAAAGAAAAGCAAAGCAAAATATATTTATCAGGAAAATAACTGCTGTCATAGACAATGCCAAAAACCTAATAAAAAACATTTCATGCCTCATTAACTTTCTGTATTTTTGAAGCATTTTCCTTAAAGAACTATGGAATATTTAAAGAAAACATAATTAAAATTGTACCCGTTATATCATGTGTCAAAGGTTCATCTATAGTTTCCAGCAATTGAACTGACGACTGTTGAAGGGAGTCATCTGAGTCACCAGCTGTGGCACCTGCATCATCACCCACGGTTCCATCCTCCATGGCTTCTGCAGCTACTGGAGCCAACAATTCTCCTGCATTTAAAGAAACAGCCCTAACCATTTTAATAATTTATACACAATCTTCTAAAACATTCTAAAGAATGACAGAATACATGCTTTACTAACAGAAAAGAATCTGAAGATGGGTCGGGGACAAAGGTCGTGGCATACATGCCTGCCTGGCAAGCGCAAGGTCCAGAGTTTGATTCTTGGTACCTGTCCCCCCAATCCAAAGAAAATGAGCCTGCATCTGCCTATCAAAAGCTAGAACTCACTGCAGTACCTTTAAAGGCCAAATAACTAGTAAGAAACATAAAATATTTAATATGTAAAATAAATTATTAATTCTTTACATTTATTAATCTATTTCTTTGTCAAAAGACACTTATAAGAAAGATATCCTACAAAGGAACATAGGCATAGTGATACCCTAAAAGTCACATACAGACAGAGTAACTAGCACCCCACTGGTAGTTAAGAATGAAGCACATCAGCATTTATATCCAGGCACTTTAACTAACAACCTCTTCTCTAAACACTTCGTCTTAACAAAACAGTCAACATAAATAAAAGTTTTTAAATAGTCACAGTTGCTTTAACATCAAAGAAAACTTTATTATTTTACTTCATTAGGATGTTACAGTTTCCTTTAAAAATTATTTAGCTGAGGAGTAATTTTGATTCTCTAGGCTAATTTTGATTTGCTCTAGGAAAATCATTCTTGACAAACCTGCTAAGATGTCCTGCAGCATGCAAGTTAAGGAATATTGAGCCCAAGCACCGCCCCAGGATATATCTCCTCTATTGAAATCAGTTCCAACCAAAAGTAACAGTAGTCTTTCCAGTTGTGGTTCATTCACAATCTCACAGAGATGAATAGTTGGTCTTGTGGCATTTGCAATGCGTGCAAGAACCTGTAATACATTTTATATATCAAATACTTAACCAGCAATTATAATCTTTTTTTTTTAAAAAAAAACAGAAATCTCTCAATACATTGGCACTGGAGTAATTGTTTTCAATAATGATGTTTCATTTTGGTATCAAAGTAATAACATGAGATAGAGTTCAAAAGAATGTAATTTCGGTCTGGGGATATAACTCAGCCGCATAAGCACCTGCCTGGCAAGCGCAAGGTCATGAGTTATATATATATATATATATATGTAAATTTACATTAAATCCAATAAAACTGAGTGAGGAGTAGCTGCTATAAAACACCAACTATGTTCCAGCAAAACAACTGTAGCTATAAAGTCTTTTGTTAATATCATTTTACATTTGTGTATTTCCTATTTTATTTAAGGAAAGTAATCTAGATAACCCAAATTTCCTGTATTTTAATCATCCAATGTTTTGGTCAAACAAATCAATTTTAACTAAATTAATTTTCCTTAGGGAAAATGAAAAATATTATTAAATCCTTCAAGGTACAATTAAAAAAACTAATTGGAAAAGAAAAGAAGAACTATAATTATTTTTAATCAAAATCAATTTAAAAACTGCACCCCTTCCAAATTTTTCCCACCCTGTAAATCTATATTTTTAAATTAAGCTTAATAGTTTTCTTACCTTACAAACAAATAATAAGAGATCTGCATGGCATGTGAAATCCATCGAAAGAAGAAAGAGAACCAGTTTTTGTACTACTGAAATACAGCGTTCATGGGCCAGAGTAAATGGAAGTGGTTCTATCTCTGGACTTTCTTTTGTTGTTGTAACTTCTGTATCTAAGTTAGAACGAGACCATTCCGCTGTCCGACGCAAACGAATTAAGTCCTTAAAGTGCTGCATAAAGAAATGTGTAATGTTTGAATTAATGTTTATTTAACGAAAAATTTTCGGTACAAATTTACAGAATGAAAATATTCACTTACACACAACTCTTAATGACAAACTGTTTAGATAAACCACAATCTTCAAAAGTAAAGATTAGGTGCCAGGAATATAGCTTAGTGGCACAGTGCCTGCAGTGAGACTGATTCCTGATACTCAAAGGAAAACAGAGCTCCCCTACTGAAAAGAAATAGAAGGAAATAGGGAAAGGATGACAGAGGAGGAGGGAGAGAGCACAACAGGGAGAGGAAGAAAGAAGAAAACCAAGAGAAAGAGAAGGAAAGAAGAGAGGAGAAAAAGAGAGATGGAGAGACAGAGGGAGAGGGAGAAGGGGACGGGGACACGGACAGGAACAAGAGAAGAGGGCTAGGGATTTAGCTCAGAGGCATAAGTGCCTGCCTTGCAAGCATGTGGTTGAGAGTACAATTATGGTACCAAAAAAGTAGAAACATTAAAAAATTTAAAAGAAAAGAAAGGAGAAGAGAGAGAGGGAGGACATAACTTAGTGGCTCAGTGCCTGCGTGGGAGGCACAAGGTCTTAAGTTCAATTCCAGGTTATCCACAAAAAAGAATTTGAGGAAAGTGAAATTCTACAAAAAAAGGCACAGGAAGACACTACAGCTAATGTAACAGCTCAGATAAATGGCATCCAGACAAGTCTAAACAACATACAAGGTTGAAGGTAAAATTAATTTAACTTCAAAGTATTCACTTAAATTATTGCAGAATCTGGATTAAGTATAACATCATAGTTATTCAAACACCACACAAATTTGGTTGTCACATATATTAGTTACATAAACCTATGTGTAAAATACATATCAAACTTTTTAAATTATTCAAAAATCACTAAAATTCATTTTAACTTAGAAAAGAACATGCTATACTTCAGTATTATATACTAGAAGATCCAAGACAAGTATCAATCCTAACCAACCCTGATAATTTTTCAGTAACATATTAAAAGGGAAATGAAAAGTCATAAACATCATTGAATAGATTAATTTTATTTTTAGGACTAATAAAATGGTATTTATAATCACACTATATATTTTAGTGGGGGTTTTTTTGTTTAAATTTTTAAGACAAGATGTCACTGTGTAGTCTAGGGTAGCATCGAAGTCATGGCAATCCTCCTGCCTCAGATTCCCAAATCAAAGGATTATAGGCATGCACCACTACACCTGGCATCTATGAAAATAATAAACAGTACGCTAAATGTACATGAGCAAATTCTTGAGAAGTGGAATAACATACTTAAATTTTCCTGATCATTATAAAGATACCTAAATATTTCAATAATCTATAATGCTACAAAAGAAAATGGTTTTTGGGGGAAGGTGGGGAGAGGATGTATTATATAACAAAGTACAAACCACACCTTTGAAGTAGCCTGCTTTAGTTTTGCTTGCTCTACCAGGAGTTTATATGATGATCCTTTGTTACTCTGTATTTTTTCTTTTTCCATCTGTTCCACCAAAGCCTTCTGTTTTGCTTTTAGTAGATTAAGTTGCTTTAAAACACAAATAAATAAATCTTAAAATAACAGTGTTTTAAAAAGTAAATTATTACTCTGTTCAGAAGTCAAAATGATACAGTAAACCCTTTAAAACTATAGTGATACAATTCTGGCTACCCTCTTCATTTAAAAAGCTTACCTCCAAATTCTGACTTCAACACCTTTAGTCTCATTAAGAACAGTTCCTTACAAATGAGACAGGGAAATTAATCACAAGACTGTCTTATATAAGCAAAGTAATAAATCAAGTAACATTTTTTAGCAATGGAAAATAACCTTTTTTAAATACATGGGAACGTATTTCTGGTACCACAAATTTGAATCAGGGCCTTCAATAAAAACTACATCCATTCTTATTTTTCATTTTGGGCCAGGATATCACTAAGTCACTATTTTTTCCTTAACAGTTCCAGCTTTCTAAGCAGGGCAGCACATGGGGATAATTCAGCTACTGCAGAGGTTAAGGGTCAACTAATCGACATGGTAAAGCCTTTTGTTGGTGGGGTGGATAAGTGTTCTTAGCTGTGTTTTTATAGCAATTCTCCCAGAAGTAATAAATATTTTTGATATAACTGGTTATTAGTTTATTTAAAGAATTTTGGATTCACAGAGATCTTTTAATAGACAACACCATCATAACGATTGTCTGAAAAAGTACAACATATCACAACACACACTGACACAAAATTCATCAATTTTCTTCAAATTTTTGCAGTTTCATTAGTATTTATTTGTATAGGCCCATATGTGCCCTCAATTGCATACTATTCTACATGTTAACTGACTTAGCTACCAAGAGAGTCAACACTGAATGTCTCTATTAATCAGGTTCTGTTATGTTGTCCTTTTGTAACTCATCATCCTATACCACCCTCCGTGAACCCCTTCCCTTTACAATACCCTATAGCAATAAACTAATAGCTCAAAGGGGAGAAAAAGCTACCCATTCCAACCTATGGAATGACTTTCCCTAATACCCACAAAATTACCTTAGACAGTCACTAGAAAGCATAGCCACAATTATAAATTAATGATGCAGGCAAGAACTTAATAAACCAGTCTTCTCTAAAAATACTTCATACATTTCTCCTATTGACATCTATTATATTACATGAGATGAAAAAATGTTATAAACCAAAAACCACATGGTTATCTACACAGATGAAGAAACATGTTTCAAAATTAAAACTAGCACGCATATGATAAGTGAGTAACTATAAACTAGGGGTTACAACATTTTAGTATTCAAAAAAGTAAAAATTCTATGAGAAACATATGCAATGATTCTAACAACATATCTAAACAGTCACAAATTTAATTATTGTATAAATACATGTTTTTCGAAACTGTATGAGAATAAATTAGCAACCTGATGCCCAATCAATCTGAATATTACAGTATTTATTCCCTAGAACCAAGTAAAATCACTGGCGAATCACCATACAACCAGAGAATTAAAACTGATGCTCTACTACTAATTATTTCTTGCACACATTTAAATTATGCCAATCAATGTGCTTCAAAATAAAAAGTCACATAGTAATGTTTTATTACATTATATTTTAAGGATATATGTATTGGGTTACATATAGATACAGTAAGTTTTATTCTAGGGTTTTCAAATTTTACATCAATAATTAAGTATGACAGGCATAAACATTAAGTGGCCAATAAATTTTAGCTCCATTTAAAAGCAAACAAATCACTACTGCCTAAAATTACTTAAAAGTATTACAAAGGAGCAACTGAAGAAGATACTTCACATTGGCTTTTTTTTTTTTAAGATCCATTTAATTCAGAGTTGAAAAAATGCTGAAGAAAAAAACTTTATTTGTTAAAAATAGGCCCAATGGGCTCAGCGGTACCTGCCTGGCAAGGTCTCGAGTTTGATTCCCGGTACCAAACAACAAAAAAACAAAAAAACAAACAAATAAACAAAAAAAACAGGCCCAATGCCTTCCATTCTTTCAAAATGAAAGGGTTTTCTTTAAAAAAAAAAAAAAAAAATCTCATTTTACCTTAACATATGCACTAAATACTACATAAAACATGATACTCTACAAAACGAAGAAATACGATTAGTTTGTACGTAAAAACCTTTAGGGGAGGCATAGCAACGTATCAGATTAAAGACAAAAGCAGAGAGGCTTTCTGACTCTAAAAATATAATGACACCTCATTAAAATGGTAGTACTAAAGACGTAACAAAGTGAACAGTTTTTGGTGTTTTTTTTTTCCCCTATTTGGGGGAGGGTGTTTGCTACTGGAAATCGAACTCATGACCTCACACTTGCCAGGCAGGAGCTGTGCCACTGAACTATATCCCCAGCCCAGTGAACAGTTTAAAGAACATCACCAAAATCTGTACATTATAGGTATTGTTGCCCTCATGCACATAATTTCTGAACTACTGATCTCTCCAAACTACACAGCCCATCAAAAGTCACATCCAACATTCGAGGACACATCTTTGAACCTCTAACTTGATAATCTTAGACAAAAAACTAATGCATTCAATCAATACCTGCTTATGATGAACAAGCTGTTTTCTGATTTTTCTGGAATATAATCTATCAAGGCTACTGCTGCCCTTGGAAGATCTATTTAAGTTCTGAGTGTGCAGATTATTATTGATAAAACTCCACTGGTTACCTAAAAGGGAAGAAAAAGGTTTAGTAACAATATGCTTAAATGTAATTTTAAAGAACCTTTCATACTCAAAAAGCACAAAAACAACTATGTCAATCAAGACAAAGCAGATTAGAAGAGTTGACCCTACAAAATTTAAGTAACTCGGACTACTCTCACTTAGACCATAATATTCTTTATTTCCAATACTTTAAAATAACAGGCAGTGTTTAAAACTAAAGCTTAAGATTAATGTTTGTACAACGCAGCTTTAATAGTCACTGAGTTGTAAAATAAAAACTTCAAAAATACCTATGTATTTGCAAAGGGACATTAGGTGTGTATGTTATTATTCTACCCCAATGTACCATCCCCTCTACCAATCTCTAGTTCTTCACTCATGTTTAATTAATGTAAAAAATTTTTCCTCTTCTCTATATTTTTTGAAATCGTAGTTCATACTACTAAGCCTCAAACTTCTTCCACTAATGATTTCATACTGAACATAGTTAAACTCCCAATATTATCTGTTCTATTCCAATTTATATTATAAATTTATTTTATCAATATACCTTATTCTATTATCTTAATACAGAGTAAACTGATCCATAAAGATAATGATTAATTTTCCAAAATCTCTACAAACAGCAAATTGCCCATACATTAGGAGTCTTTGAAGGCTGGGGATATAGCTTAGTGGCACAAGTGCCTGTCTAGCAAGTACAAGGTCCTGAGTTCAATTCCTGGTACAAAAAAAAAAAAAAAATCCTGGACTTTTAAAAACATAATATGCACCATAAATTGTTTTAACTATAAAGTATCAAGGACATTTTGTATTATACTGAAAATGTGTAAAATTCCTATTTTGATAGCCCTAAAATATCTGTATATACATATTTGGTTGCTAACTCAAATCTTTAGTGAAAATCTTCATTAGGGGGAAAAAGGAAATGAAAACATTAGCTCTTGGAACTTGATGTTCTATTATTTTGTCTCTTGGCCACTATGAACAAAGATTACAACTCAAAACAAGCCAGGGCACTAGAGACTTAGCTCAGTGGCACAAGCACCTGCCTGGCAAGCGTGAGATCATGAATTCAACCCCCGGTACCAAAACAAATCAATACAAAACATAAGCTGGAAACGTCCATATCTAAACATAAGGACCACTTGGAAGTCAATGGATACATTGCAGGGATCAGCAGCATTTGCCCATGGTTCAGTACTCTGCAATTCCTTCAGAAAACCGTTAAAGGTAATTTACAGCTGATCCATTGAACTCTGCTGTGATAAAAATGACACACCACACTAAAATAAAACTTTTTTAAAAGAAGAAATCTTTGTAAATTTCCCTTTCAAAACTCACTTTTATGTATTCTACTACAAAGTGTTTGAATGGGCACGGGTTTTCACTCTTGTGAAAAACAAAGCAGTTTTCACAAACCAAAATGTGATGCCCAGAGCAGTAAGTTTGTCCATCAAATATAAATTCTGTCTTAAAATAAATTCTTGAAACTTAACTCCTTTTTTACATAAACTACATACAGCTGGTATCTCCAGGCCAACAACCATTTCTGGATCAACTGTAGAGTCACTCAAAATCCCCACCAAAATATTATTATAAACTTCTGGTACCTGTCAAAAATCTTTCCCTGTCTTTACCATTCAAAGGTTTTTTTGCAGCTGCTGCTTCATCTTCAACAGTTGCTACATAATCCAGCAACCTGGACACCAGCATAACAACCCAACTGATCATAGGAATATCTAGTACTCCTACATAGAGAGAGGGAAGAGATCCATGTAATTATGATTCCTAATGAAATCTGAAAACAACTGAGACAGAACATTTTACAAATTCAGAACCTGCTATATCTTACTAATAGTAATGTTTATATATAAGCCTGAAAACTACACATTTTTACAATAAGTTGAGAAGAATGTTGATTCTAACTAAATGCAAAAACATTTTAGTAAAAAAACAGATCCATAAATGTAATTATTAATTTTAGATTAGATCAATGCAACAAATACGAATCTATAAACTAGAAAATAAAATGTAAGATTCATATGCAACTAAAATAAAATATCCATTCTGACTTACAATCCATGTAGTATCAAATTATGTTCTAAGTATGGATCAAAACTAACGAGAGTCTGATTTTAGTTTTATAGTTATACATACTGTATAGCTATGGTACAGAAAAAACATATAATATTTTAAAAATTCAAATCATAAAAAGGTAATATCCTTTTTTACAGTATTTATATTTAAATACACTTAAAATTGTATGGCAGTCAATCACATGAAGGCTGCTCTCTAAAACTTCTATGTCATACAAATAATAATATATGCTAAAATGAATGCTAAAGTATTCTACAATTAATACTTTTATCGAATGTTGTACTTAAAATAGCTGTCTTATAGTAATACCTTCTGTTCTCCTATGTATGGGTAACTCCGGCTGAAGAGGTGACAATAAATTATCCAAGAGATTAAGCAAGCTTTCTAATACTCCACTATTACTAAGTGATCGTTGACCAATACAGGAAAGTAACATGAAGACCCTAAAAAAAAATAAGTATGCAGAAAATACTCAGTGAGAATTAGCTCGTGATTTTTTGTTCAGTTCTTTAAATAATTTACATTGAAACTTAATACTAATAAGGGCTTACTTCTTTAAATATTGCATCTTACTGGGGATAAGAAAGGTTTGTATCTGGAGGTATGTCAAAATCAGCTGTTTCTAGTTATTAGTTACACTTTAGAGAACTGAGCTCTCAAGAAGCACATTTAGGGGCTGGGGATTTAGCTCAGCGGCATAAGCGCCAGCCTTACAAGCAGGCAGTCATTGAGTTCCATCCCTGGTTCCGATAAAAAAACGAAAAAGACAAAAAAAATAGAAAAAAAAAAAAGTACATTTAACATATACAGTCATATGATCTAGAAGCAAATACTTTTAAAAAAAATCACATTTATAATCCCCACAAATTCATCTGAACAACCAAAAATGCAGTCTCTTATTTACATGCAATCTTATAGTAACCTTTTCTGTAGTACCCTTTAGCTATTCCTAAAAATAGCTGTTTCATTTTCTACACATTTAGTATCCACATAAACAAGATTTCAAAATCTGGTCAATGACTTTAAGAAATACGAACTACTAAGGACAAATACTAGCATCATCTAATGACTTACCTATCCTGAGGAAAGATGAGAAGCTGCTCTGAATTATACAATTCCTGTAGAACATTAGAAAGAAACTGACCCCACCATCTTTCACCACCACACAGTTGAACAAGCAGGAGGCCAGTATGTAACCGTATCTTTGGGGTTCCACTGATGCACAAGTGTTTAAAGAGCTCTTCACAGGCTTGGGCATGAAATGTGCTCTGTAAAACTGCAGGAACAGAGTGCCCTATTACAAGAAAGAAAATAAAATTTCCTATTTAAGTGTAGTGTGTCATTATCAAAACTGGCATGCCTACATGTTTTCTTGTTTGCCAGCAATGTAAGTTTAACTTTAATTCTTAAATACTTAGGGAAATAGAACATCAAATCAATTATATCCCCAATGAATCAGAATGTGCTGTGGGTTTTTGTACGTGCACATGTGTGTCTGTCTTGATGAAAAGTATTTACTGGCTAGAAAACCATAGTTTTAAATTAAGCTAGCAATTTACGAAAATTTATCACCATTGACTTTTAAAGTACTATCAACACTTAACACATACTTTGTCAAGAACACACTGATGTGTGTAAATGATAAAATGAAAAAAAAAATTATAAAAACCTAGAAATTCATCAAGAGTTTAAGAAAAAGTGAAACACTGGAAACTTAGCTGAGGGAAAATGCATTTGTCTACTGTGGGCAAAGCCTTATATTCAATCACTAGGCACCATTGAAAAATTAACATAAAGGGGTAAAGGGAATTGAGTCAATCTAAACAGATTTAATAAATATATTAGAAAGGATAACAAAGTAAACAATAACCAGAAAATATTACCACAGATCCTAAAACAAGCAACAGGACCACAAATATATTCCCATGCATTAAAGTATATGATTCAAATACAAACCATTGGAAGAGTGAAGAAGGCTGAGTAAAGTGTCCAATAAATATCTGATGATAGTGCGTAGCTGCTCTGTGGAAGATGTTTGAATTAAATCTTCTGGATCTGATGTTTCATTCAATGTCTTACGACTTGCACCTACAGCTACTTTGAGTCTCTGCACTGCATTCTGAGCCAAATTTAGCTGAAGCTGTAGCTGAATACAATCTTGATAAGCAGAAAAAACTCTACTGTCTTCCTCAACTGCCTTGTCTGGTTTTCGTAAAAAGTACTGTGCATTGTTAGCGCTGTTGAGAGGAGGAAGATCTATACTTTGCAAAAGAGTTTCCAGACGATGACAAGCTAAGTTATATCTGCATAAGTAAAAAACAAAAACAAAAAAATTCAGTAACTCAAATGTTCTTTTGATGTACATATATGCACAATGAGAATGAATCTCTAATTAAAGATCGCACAATTGAAAGAATTACTCTTTGGCAAGAACTAATAAAATGAAGTAAATTAACTGCAAAATTTTCATTCCATAAACATGGTGGTAATGTGCTAATATTCTGGAGGGGGGCTCTTTTCTGTACAGTTATGAAAGGACATACTTTGAAAAACTACAAGCAACATACATAAAATACAAATTTTAATATTAAAACATATTTGCAGTTTTCTACTAACCTGCATTGTATATCCTCTTGTAGTGCAACCATCATTGCTAAATGCTGGTCAATTTCTGGCTGGTTTGCAGATTCTCCCTCTCCCTTGAGAGGGTCATGCATTAATTTCAGCTCACTTTCCCAAGGCAAGATATAGGTATGGCCATAGTAAAATCCTAAAGGGATTTTGGCTCGGGCATTTGTACTACCATAACGTCCGATGACAGTTATCTGAAATGAAAAGTACGCATTCCCTTCAGCCACAATAAAACAAATCTGAGCAATACATTTAAGCAGTATAGGTATACTTGTCAATTATACGTCTAAATATTTTTCTGAAACAGAAAATATAAATTTGCTTTCTTGAAGTTCTTTACCTTCATAAATCTGCACACAGGAGGTGGTATTAAGTCATGAAGAATTAGTGAATGGGTGCTTATATCAGTTGCCACTACCAAACGCCTTCCATCCACTTCTTCTCCTAAGGTCCAAATGTCAATTGATAAGGAAGCCAAGTCTCCACAAGTGGGAATCAATACATCTGTCAATAATATAGGTCTTCCAAAGTCCAAAGTCACAAATCGCCTGGCTCCTATGGAAGAAAAAGGAATGATTAAAGGAAGGAAAAAAAAACCCTATCCATCCAATAAATAATTTTATATATAAACACACATATATTTAAATTAACTGAATGATAAACTTAAAAACTGTTTAAAGCATCTTTAAACATAAAATCAACTTAATAAACTAAAAACAAGTAAAAGTAAATTTGTAAAATTGACTTTTCAATTCTCATTCTAAAACTTTCTTAATCTCCAATCAAGTTAACCTTAAAGTCACAAACTATTACTATGAAAACAATCAGCTGTACACATTAGCTTTACTTACTTTAAAAATTAAGTTAGCAAATGTAGTACATTAAGAAAACACAGTATGAGAACTGATCATACCACACATGATAAAATGAACACATACTCTGAAGAAAAAGAGACACTACAGTACCCAGTGCTGATCCAGGAGTATCATAATGTGAAACCCATCAATACTATTATTCTTTGCTCAGAGTGATTTTTTGTTGAACAGAACTGGTTGCAGTCTTGTTTGAAACCCCGCTTTATATGCTCCACTTTTGCATCTTTGAATAATTATTTGTAAGAGGACAATTATGTAAATATCAACTAATGATTTCTTACTGTTTAGTCTTTCTTTGAAAGTATGTATTATTTCTACCCATTTTCTGTTTTTAGTCTTTCTTTAAATAAAATCTTAAAAAAGAACAAAGGGAGGGAAAAGTGGAAACTACTGTCAATTTCATATTGTCTTATCTTGAACTCTTGCATTGTTTACATAATTTTATTAGATTTGGCCTTGTCCTGTCTTTTTTTCGATTTTATGCTTTCAGATGATAAGGGTAGCTATTTTGAATATAAAGAGAAATATAGTAATCATGGTTTCCTATTATATTGTTTTGAAGTCTTATAATGCTTTCATTCATTTGGTCTGATTTCATTGTTTTGTTTGATTTTATTACGTGAGATGGCATGAACGCTAGTTTGAAGAAAACAAGACATTATTGTAGCTATTGCTGATTTACTATCATCTTGTTCTGAAGTCCTACCATGCTTTTTTTCTTCTGTTTCGATTGGTTCTATCCTACTGTGTTTTACTTGATTTTATTGTGTGTGATGTTATAGACAAATTTTTTGAGGAAAATGAGGTATAGCAGCCATTGTTCATTTCCTGTTATTTGGTTTTGAAGTCCTGTAATGCTTTCATTGCTTTTGAATGTTTTTTTACTATATTGTTATGTTTGATATTATTGCGTGTGAAGGTATGCTCCACTATTTCAAAGAAAAGAGACATTATGTTAGCTACAGTTGATGTCCAGTTGTTTTGTTGTGAAATGCTGTGTTGCTCATTTTCCTGTTCTGATTTGCTTTGTTTCATTGTTTTCTTTTGTTCTCTTTAAAATAAAAGTTAAAAAAAAAAAAGAATGCACAGCAATAATCTGCACTTTCAGCTAGTAGATTTATTTTTATTTTTCTACTGGGAATCAAACTCAGAACCTCACACACGCCAGGCAATTGCTGTGGCACTGAGCTATATCCTCGACTCATTATTTGTTTTTCTTAATTTCATAATTAAATATATTAAAATACCAAAATACATTACATGACTTTAGGCCAACCTGGAATTGCATGCTCTACTGAGTTTACTGTGTAAATTGTAAATGTGGCTAAAGTCATATATAATAACCTTATCATTAAAAAAAAAAAGCTTAAAAGGGCCTCCAAGGGAAATAGCTCCTTTCAAACAATGTCCTTCCCAGTACTGACACTAGTATATCTTCAGCTCAGTATCTGAATAAGGAAATGAAGAAATACCAGATTTTCATTTCATTTTATAAGCAAAATATAAAAAACAAGCTCAAATAGTAAAACATAAAGTGCATCACTAAAAACTTCAAAATTATTTTTCTTTCACTTTGCATTGGCAGAAGTAGCCACATTAATATATCTGCTGCATTTTATAATTAAGGAAAACACCTAAAAACTTCTAGGAGTAGTCCTATTCTCAGTGGAACAAGAAAAGAAAAAAGGCAGTGACCAGAACTAAAACTAAAGAGAACAATATTAAGCAACATATAAAGAACAAGCTCAAGGGGTTTATATGCTACCCAAATTGGACTATACACAACTGCCCATACATAAGACTCCAGAATAGCAAGTTTTCACTTTTACTGATTACAAATTATAATATCTATTGCCACTTAATAATTATTTGGGTAAAAGGAACACATGCTCTTACAATAAAAAAGTACAGTTTGTTTCTATAGTGAAAAGTGTCAGGGCTGGGGATTTAGCTCAGTGGCGTAAGCACCTGCCTGGCAAGCGCAAGATCATGAGTTCAAACCCCAATACCGTAAGAGGTGGAATAAAAAAAGATATTGTTTGGAATATACATGACATATCCACATTTTTCCACTAAGAGCCTCCAAGTGCTGACCTGTACTGTTGCTGAGATTAAAACTTCCTATTATTTGTAGATATTCTGTAATAAGCACCTACCCTTCAGGAGGCTGACACAGGAGAATTGCTGTGAGTTCAAGGCTAGTCTGGACTACATAATGAGTTCAAGGCCAGCCTGAATTACACAGCAAGACCTTGTCTCAAAGGCTAAAATGGGGGGCGGGGTTTAAGCTCAGCAGCACAAACGAGCTCCTGCCTGGGAAGCATGAGGTCATGAGTTATACTGCAAGTACCAAAATAAAAATTTCAGCCAAAAGTAACGAAAGGAATAGAACAGAAAAAAGACAAGAGCAAAGCAAAGCAAGCAACTCCCGAGATCATAAGCGTAAGACAAACTTACATAAATTTTCAAGTAAAAGACCATTAAATGTTACTCAGTTACCATACTGAATAGCATTTTGTTGGCTAATCTTTTTTTTTTATTACACTAATGCCAGTGTTACGAGTACTTTTCTGAAGTGTAATGGTGAATGACTAATTAAAACAACGTAAGATATTATATGTTAATCATACTCCAGCAGGCAAAGTCTCAGATAAAAGACCCAATTCATTGTTAAAACAAAATTAGTAAACCTGCGCAAGAGCACTCTCATGCAATGTAGAAATCACACACCTTGAACATTACAAAATGCTTATTCTTGGCAAAATGTATTTACCCAAGAGCAAATGTGATTTATTCACATTGGAATGGTAAACTGAATTCATAGAAGAAAGTCATATAAGGACCAGCAGATGGCAAAGAAAATTAATTTAAAGAATTAAAAAATTACCTGAATGCATTCGTTCTATAATAATGGACTGGTGAGGTGGAGGTTGAAGAAAATGTGAAGCATGAGAAATTGCAAGGGCCAGACCAGAACCAAGTGGATTCTAGAAAACAAAAGAGTAGAGCTCTATATTGGTAATACTCTTACTATATAAAAACTACTGATCAAAATACTAATGTTTCTTTTCCTGTTGTATACTTTTCAATATTTTATAAAATAACCTAATTTCACATAATGAATACGTATAATACTATTTTGCCTTCTAACATTAGAGTTTACTTCAAAACATTTTAAATGGATAAGCCAATGCCTATTTAAAACGTAATTTACCATTCTCGACTTGTTGGAATTTTTGTTATGTGCAGCAAGATTGACTGGTGGGGGATCAATGACTGAGCCTGGGAAAAGCTGTGCAAGTTCGGCATTAATCACAACAGAAACTGCTTCATTGGGTGGAGTGAGTGGTGGAGTCATAAAAAGTGGTGTTGTTTTTGGAGTGGGTGGAATAACATCAGATGGATGAATGAAGAATCCAGGGGCGGCCACTGGGTTGGAAGGCACAGAGTTGTGAACAGGACCTACTGCTGATGCTGCTGATGCTGCTGCAGCTGCTGCAGCTGTTGTCTGATGTAACTTGGCTTCCAGCTTTGCTTTCTGTAAAAGAAGTAAAAGCAACACATATAGACTAATCCTGCCTACCTAACTCATGGAGTATATTACAAGGATAAATATTATGAAGAGAAACACGATAAGAGAAACATGATTCATCCTAAAAAATGATGAATCCAAACTGGACATAGTATCAATGGAACACTGCTCTGATATATGTACTCCTTCAAATACTCAATATAAAATGTCTTGTGTATTTTTCAAAGTGAAAGTGAAAAGCAAGCAGAACAATTAAATGTAAAAAAAAAAAAAAGTTCTGCTCTAAACAAAATATTTACAGGAGGTGGATTCTCATGTCAACTAAACTGATATTGTCAACTGAAACTGTCACAGGGTCCTTGAGGACACAATAAAAATCTATCAAGCATTTCTCATTATTGCTAAATTTGAAGTCACCCTAATTTAATTGGTCTTTTAAATGCTGTTTTAGGTTCTTTATTCCACGAAAATGATTAGCGGGCAACTATAATGTTTGATCAAGAGTGTTCAAATGGAATATGAAAAAAAAAAAATTGATCGTATTTCCTCAAATGTGTCCAATAAAATGTAATACTACAACTTCAATAAATTTAAACGTATCACAAAGACTTTACCTCATTTTTTTTGTTGAAAATGGTTAACTCACACTGTTCAACCTATTTTCCTTTATGAAAATAATGGTCATTTTTTACAGTACTTTTTCAGCTTTTGAAGTTTAGAGACAGCATGAACAAAGAGCCAAATAGTCTCCAACCTGTTGCTGAAGCTTCAAAAGCTGCTGCTGTTTCTCTTGCAGCACCTGTAGCTGTTGCTCGGCTGAAGCCATTGCATGAGAGAGAGACTGCAAAGCTACCTGGGCTGCTGAACTCAGTGCTGTCGAGGCTTCCCCAACTGTCCCAGATGAGAGTCCACCTACTGCAGGAGTAACCCCGAAGGAACTCACTGGCATAAGACAAGGGAAAACAAAAACAAAGACACCAGGATGAAGAAAAAGCTTACAAAGAAAAGAATCAAAAGTATACTATTTTGACACTAGAACTATAGCAAATTTTAATTTTTAAAAAAAGGAATCATGAGAAAATAGGAAAATTTTAATAGCAGAAATATTGATAACACTGGTATTCAAGTTCTAAGAAGATCTGAGAATGACTTCTAAAGCAAAGAAAAATTAGAGCCACTTTGTTTTCTAAGTTATAAATATTTCTACTATAGAATTTTATTTGATAAAAAAATTTTAATAAAATCATTAAAGATGAAAAACATCTTACATCTTTTGAACTTAAGAAATAAACTATGTTTCCCCAGAGCACTTAGATGGAGAGAAATACATATTTCACATAAAGTAGTATTATTTTTAAATGATAAAAATATGACATCTAAAAATTTAAAAATACGACACATTTTCTTCCATTAAATATTTATGAAAAGCATTCTAGAAGCTGAAATAAGAATTTAATCCCACAACTTAATCTAAAATGTCAGCCTAAAACAAGAGACAGGAGGAAAGTCTAATAGCATTAACATTATTTATAACGAACCTTTACTAGCAAGTTAAACTGGTACAATAATAGCACAAATTTAATATGCATTACCAAACAGCTGCCTTTAACCATGAACAAGTATGTGAGGCAGGAGTCATATTCCCCTTTCTAGCTGAATCAGCAAAGAAAAATTATTCTATAAAGGTGATACTGGTACAACTCGTATTAGAATCGAGGGCTGTAGGAAGCCAAAGCCAAAACAATCAACATTAACTTATACCAACTTATTAAATCTTTGTAGCAGTAAAATATTAAGTGAAAAGTATTAGTTACCACTGTGTTATAATATACATTACATACTGCTATAATCTCATTTTACAGGTAATAAAATTAAAGATGATGCTGAGGATTTACCTCAGTGGCACAAGCACTTGCCTGGCAAGTGCCAGGTCATGAGGTCAATCCCCAGTACCCAAAAACAAACCAACAAACACACCAAAATAAAATGAAAGATGAGCGAAGTAAAGTTATTTGCTAACAAACAGTGGAAAGCAAAGAAAGTTCCGGAAATCTGGTGACCTATCTTTCTAACACCTAACAAGGGCTGTGTTTTAAAACAGTGAACAGGAAGCTTGGAAAGAGTCATCTTTCACCTAACACAATGCTGCCCTAACACTTAATAAAAATTCCTCTGCTGGTAATGGTTTCAAGATGGTGAAATACAAAGATCTATTCTATACAAATAAGTAACTCTGAAAAGACAAGAAACTAGTTCCACTGCTTGCTTTATAGGAAGGGAAATGGGTGGAAGGTATAAAGGAATGTTCCTTCGTACCTAGGTTTTTGTGGTACAAGGCTTTGAACTCTGCTCTTCAAACTTAACTACACTTTTTTTAATTAACTAAAAAAAAATTTTTTTGAGACAGTACACTGCTAAATTGCTAAGTTGCCCAGGTGAGGTTCAAACTTCTGATCTCCTGGTCTCAGACTCCCAGAGCTGAGATTACAGGTATGCACCACCACACCTGGCTAAACTGAGGTTTATATCTTTAGATTTTCTTTACTCTTTGGAAAGCATTACTAATTCAAACAAATTTTCTTAAAACTTAAGCTCTTGAAAACTTAATTTCATGATGAAATCAAGGAGAGAACCATATTTACAACTGAATAGTTTATAACTGAAGTTTTTTGAAAGCTCAACATTTGAAAGAATGTTTTTATTTCGATATAATTCTAAGTCTTTGGAAAATGATCGTTTAACAGTCCAAGAAAAACTGATTCTGATCTTATTAATCGCCATATTTTTAAAAACCCTAATTTAAAATTGTATGCCCAGAATTTTACTTAGCTATTACTGTCACAATTAAGATAGAACACAATTCTGAAAGAAAGGGCACTAAAATAAAAAGCTGTTAAAGTCTAAAATCATTTGTCATTCTGAAGCCAAGTATAACACTAACATTCCATGACTTCTCCTGGAAATTGTTTCACTTTTTGTTACAACTGTTGAAGAGATTAAAAAGAGACCCACTTACAAAATTATCACCAGCAAAATCAGTTTAAGACAGTATTTAAATCCTTCATTTACAGTAAAACAGACATAAAATCACCTACAAAAGCTAAATTTTTTTAAAAACTAAATTTTATCAACTTCAATTATGTGTCGCAATAGAACTCACGTGTAAATTAATATTCATGCTAAAATGAGAAATAATTAAAAATTAATATTTCTACTGATTAATAGTCAAAAACTATTTTTTAAATGAAGGTATTTATTAAGCACTAACTTTACCACATACATATTTAAGACAATCAAATCTAAATTACTTTGGATTATTAGGAAACAGTATTCTCTATTTACTCATCCCAACCTTCTCAAAAACATCACCAAATATACTAGTAACTTTAAAAGAGTATACACAAAAAATACTGGCAATCATTTGATAATTAGTAAAGCTCAGTAATGGAAACATGGAGTTTGTTTTAATCTCCTTTTTCCACATAGATGATATAGAAAGTTGGTAAAAATGAACACACATATAAACAAAGGGATTCAAATAGAGCTAGGAGAAATTGGGCAAACAAATACACCAATGAATTGACTAAGAATATGAAACTATACTTCCTCCCAGCCCAAAATGTCCCTCCCATACGTTTCCACTTTACAGGACAGCAATGATATCCTCAGGGTAAAAACAGGTATTTGAATACTTACATTCCACTTTTGCTTATGTTTTGCATAAAATATATAATAAAAGAAGGGTATATACCAGTAAACGTACTTGCATCATCCCTTTCTATTCTGGTTCCATCACTAGTAGACACACAAGTAAAGTGTAGTGGTTCAACTTCCAGAAGTCCAGTGAGGGATGTGAAACTACCCTCAGCAGCTGTGCAACTACTGACTTTTCCATTTCCTAGTAGAGAAAAAGAGAATCTACTATATGTAAAAATGTTCTTCAAAGACTAAGTCACTGAAAGTTACAGCGACTACTCCACATTTAATAAGAACATATACGCATGATCTTTACAGAGTGCTTCAACAATAAACATGGTATTAAGGAATCTCACAAAAGTAGATGCCAGTTCCCTTGCTACAAAGGTCCAGTTGCATAAAATCAATTTAGCAGCATTCACAGTAGTAAGAAACAGGAACAGTTTTCTATGAGCCATGGAATTTACATTCAGCAACAACTTAAATTTCAAATGCAGAAAAAAACACCTCCTGAAATTACCTATTATGTAAACTATAAAGTAAGCAAAATATCAAAATATGTTAAGGGGGACTGGAGATACAGCCTGGCAAGTGGAAAGTCCTGAGTTCGATTCCAAGAGAGAGAGAGGAAGAGGAGACAGAGAGAGAGAGAGAGAGAGAGAGAGAGAGAGAGAGAGAGAGAGAGAGAGAGAGAGAAAGAGAGAGAGAGAGACAGAGAGAGAGAGAGAGAAGGGACAGACACAGAAACAGAAACAGGCATCAACTGTGTAAACATCAAACAATAAAAACAAAGCTAAATAAATATATTCAAACATTAATAAGATTTTTCTTGAGATACTATACTTTATAAGAATACTACAAACTACTATAGATTTTTTAAAAAATGGTCACAGCTAAAGAAAAATTGAATCACAGCAAGGAAACCAGAATAAAGAACACAAAAGAATTCACATTGTCAATGTATTTCACTATGTATTATATTCACTAGTCTTCAAATTTTCCAGAGTTAACAGTATCTGAATAATTCTTTAAAAGGCAAAGTAAACAGAATTTGTAGACGAAGTGATCAAGAAGATAAAAAAATGGAATAGTCATCAGTATCTGAAGGGTTAGTAAAGGCCAGATTAAACTGTAATAGCCTTATTCTCCAGTGTGCAAATGAAGGCTAAGTCAGGGCTGACATATATTCTCAACAATATATTCACTGTGTATTTAACTGAAAGTATGATGCTTTATTTAAGGAAAATCTATAAAGGACTAGTAAATTAAGAAGAGATTTTCTTTTTTTTAAATTTAAGTCTCAGACAGGGTTTCAATGAAAATTTATAAAAGACTAGTACAAAGTCTGAAACAGGGTTTCAAGGAAAATTTATAAAGGACTAGTACATCAAGAAGAGATTTTCTTCTTTTAAATTTAAGTCTGAGACAGGGTTTCAAGGAAAATTTATAAAGGACTAGTACAAAGTCTGAGACAGGGTTTCAAGGAAAATTTATAAAGGACTAGTACATCAAGAAGAGATTTTCTTCTTTTAAATTTAAGTCTGAGACAGAGTTTCACTATGCAGTTCAGGCTGATCTTGAACTCACTATGTAGTTCAAGGCTGGCCTTGAACTTGTGGCCATCTTCCTACCTCGGCTTCCTGAGTGCTGGGGTTACAGGCATGTGCTACCACACCTGACCTAGAAGAGATCAATTTTGAGGCACAAGGTAAGATAATATTTCCCCAATAAAATGATGAGACTCATGAGAAGAGTAAGAGATTGCTATGTATTTATTCACCATGGCACATGTGCCACAGTGGGAGATTTCTTAACATTGAAAGCTCTAAAATGTTCGCACTAGGGGTAAGAGAAAACAGAAATATGAGTGAAAATGTCTACAATAGAAAGCATAGCATACATAAAAACAAACAACATGAATAATAAACTGTACACTTTTATAGGTAAAAAGATGTACCTTAAGAATATACTCATTAGCGAAACAAATAAGACACACGTGTAAACGCTATATTGTTTCATTAATGTAACAAGCTGAAAGAAAAAACATGTATGTAAGTATGTATATAAAAACAGTTAAGACAGTTATACTATTGGTTTCTCTGAGTTCACTGAAGAGAAAAGATTTGTGCTGGTATTGTTCGGATAACTACATGCAGATGTCTTAAGCTCTGGGTGAATGATCTAGGGATGACAATATGTAAGCCCACTGCTGCCTCCAACTGACGAGCTTTGAAAATTTGATGTAGTTTCTTTCTTTCTTTCTTTTTATCCTTGAATAAAATGGATTTGAAAAGGAAAAAAATAGAGCAATATGGCTACAGGAACAATTCCAAATCCTAAAAGCATAATATATAAAATAATTTTAATACAAAGAAACCTTTACTTCCAATGGTTTGACATATACTGGTTATGCCACAGAAATTCTGAAACAAAAAAATTATGAATATTAACTCAATAATAAAAACCCAACAGATGTTACAAAGCATGTATTTTGATTAAAAATTGCTATTTTCTAAATATCTAATAGTGGTACATGCCTATAATCCCACCATTCTGGAAGGCTAGGGCAAAAGGATTACAAAATCAATCTGTGCTCAAAGCAAGCCACGCAAACAAGGTGATAGGCACAGGGGTGTCACGTGACATCAACCTGCAGTGTATAAATAAAAGTGCTGCAGTCATTGGGTAGTTCTTCTCTTCCATCCAGAGACAAGAGGTCCACCTGACCTCAGTTTTCTGCATTCTGACTCTTGTCTTCATTTCTTCATCCTCCACCATCTGCCCCTCAGAAATTTCGACAACTGAGCTGGACACATCATTTACATGTTTAAATAGCTGAAAAATGACACAGCTCCTTAAATACTAGAGCTTCTAAAACTCTGTTAAGATTAACCGGTATGCTGGGCATGCCTGTAATCCCAGCAGTTGGGAGGCTGAAGTAGGAGAAGCACCATGAGTTCAAGGTCAGCCTGGTCTACATGGTGAGTTCAAGGCCAACCAGGTCTACATAGTGAGACTCTATAAGGGAAGGGCAAGAGAAGGAGAAGCAGGAGAAGGGGACGGAAAACAAAGAATATAAACTGGTGTACCTTGTACTTCCAAAGAACTTTTACCCATGTGGAATAGTGACATATATCATGCATAGATCATCCAAGAAACATTACTGTATACAAATCTTTCAAATGTTGATACACGCCATTGTAGGATATTCAAATACTACAAACTTCTCCCCAAGTGAACAGATTATAATCATTCAATTTTAAGAAAACAAATGCCAAATAACAAGTCTGAATGTGCACAGTTTGCCTACCAGTCATTCTAGCAAATAAAAATGGTGTTCCATAAAACATACAATCAATTTAGACTGCAATTCAAGCAATTACAAAAATGTACTTCCCTGAAACAACCATGTGACTTCAGCATATAGAAGTGCTCTGAGTGTATTTTTCATCTGCTCATACAGTACTTGAAAGATGTATAGTAACAGATTCAAATTTTTATGGTTAATAAGTTCTGCTTCATTAAGTTAATTCATAAATGAAATTCACATTTTTATTTCAAATGCATAGAGAAGAACATGTTTTGCACAATCAGTACAAATGTTAACTTTAAAATGCCTAATAACGCTATACTGTTACAAAAATAGTACCCACATTTTAGGTCTCCTTAAAGGATTATAGGAACATTGAGGAAGTCTATGGACAATATTTGGACAAACGCTGCATCAAAGAAAGGAGATAAAACAATAGCAAAAAAAAAATAATAAAGAGTCTAATTTTTGTATGCTACATTAGAAACCCTGAACTTTAGGAAAATGGCGTCTTAAGAAGCATGGAGAGGAGAGAAACTTAGTGACTGGGCTTGCATTCAAAAAAGACTGCACTTACTGCAATGTGGAGAAACTAATGAAGTGAAGAACAAACCAATAAAGGAAGATCAATTCAAAAGCTATTTTTCAGTCTATGTTCCAAGTAAGTATGGCATGAACTATAACCAAGTCACTGTAGATAAGATATTAAGCAGAATTTAAATAAACATGGGTGCAAAATAGGTAAGATGGAGTAATAGACTCAATGTGGGGCATAAGAGTTATTGAGGATAACCTCTGTCTTGTGCAGCTCATGCCACTAGTTGGAAAGAAATGCGGTGAGGATAATAATGATGAGTAAGATGACAAGACATGCTTTCAGAGATGTATCGTGATTTCTATTTCTCCTCTTCTGAGTGTTCTTTAGTGAATATGGCTGCTCTCGTAAACTTGAATGCCAGAAAGCATCGCCTCAATCTTACTGTCTCCTTATACTCTAAGGGATCTTTGCCTGTGCGGTAGTATACTAAAGGCACCTACATTATTAGCTCAAGCCTACCCACCAAAGTCCCAATGAAACTGGCATGCCCTAGCTGATGGGTCTTTTAGATAAACAATGGGTATAAAGTAGTCAGAGTTGGTAAGATAGGTATAAGGTAATGAGAGGCTAAGTCATCAAACAGAACTCTAACCCTAACCCTAACCCTAAGTACCAACACATAAACTCAAGGCAATGTAAACCATTAAAAACAAAGCGACAGATCAATATGGCTAGTATGATCTCTTCTCCTAGAAATGGTAATGAGTATATATAGCAAATAAACTTAATAGGTAAAGATCTAAGTAACAATGAGTGGGTAGAAGGGTTAGGGTTGTGGTATTTCACACTGTATTCCTAGTGGTCGATCTTTCTCTTTTACTATTTTGTAGGTCATAAATTTCAATACATCAAATGAAATTAACTCCCCAAATTTACTTATATTTAATGTAGCAATTAGTTTTAATGCATTTGAAAATACAATTTCTAATATTTTGGTTTACTATCAACACTTGCATTGAGTGCAATTAAATGGGAAGAAAACTTCGCATGGCCATTGCTTCAGCCAACGAAGATAAACACCAAGTTCAAGAACATGAAATGTACACATACATTGTAAAAGCAGATTCAAGTTCAAGAACATGAAAATCACACATACATTATAAAAGCAGATTCTTCAGAAATATGTAAGACATATTTGTAAACAAACCTTACTTTCAGTGAGTGATAGCAAGTACTTAAAAATTTACGTTCTACTTTCTGCATTCTTGCTTATTAAAAGTAAGTATATATTAATTTTAGATTTCTGAATTCACATGTACTGGCATTTTATGGAGAACAAAGGTACGCTGAACAATTTAAAAGGATACAGCATATAAATCAAATTTGTATAATGAACATTAAAATTGTATTTACACATAAGGAAAGCAGAAAATAAATAATGCTTTCAAAGATGACAATAAAATACAGGTTGACTATACCTTATCCTAAATGCTTGGGAACAGAAGTATTTCTAATCTTAGCACTTTTTGGATTTTGGAATATTTATACAAACTTAGGGCTTGAGTAGTCCTGTTTTTTTTTTTTTTTTTTTTTTTTTTTTTTTTTTTTTTTTTTTTTTTTTTTTTTTTTTTTGGTCTTTTTCCTTTTTATCGGTACCAGGGATCAAACTCATGACTGCCTGCTTGCAAGGCAGGCGCTTATGCCGCTGAGCTAAATCCCCAGCCACTGGCTTGAGTAGTCCTAATCTGGAATCAAAAATGCTCTGAAATCCAATGAGCATGTCAAGATTTTGAATTTTTATATTAGGGATATTCAACCTGTTGGGTTTTTTTTTTTTTTTTTTGGAGAGGGAAATAGAAACTAAGAAATTGGGGCAAACACTTTAAAACTTAACAAATGTTAACTTCTGAAGAATTTTAGTGTTCTAAGGACAACATGGTAAACACAATGTATCAAGCAATGTACTAGCTCAAACCCAGGTTATAACATTTAGAAATTCCTTTACTAAATAAAACAAGTCACTACCTGAAAGGACATCTGATAAATCAATTTCATCTGATTGAACACCAATGCTGCTATTGTACACATTTTTACAAGACGAGCCACTCATCTCCAAATCAAAAAGGACTGGATCAAACGGTGAGCTATATAATCCATATCTGAAAAATAAAATAATGTACAAACAATTTTACTATCAATTTTACTTTAATTAAGAAAGTAGTCTTAAAAGTAGTCTGACTTAAGACAGCAGAGGGAGATAGTTGCCATGTTTAACTAACTGATCAAATTCAGTTTCACTATAATTCTGTTTTATGAATCTATACTTCCAAAGACAGTATACAGACACTCAAGTAAGTATAACTCCAATATGCTGGCAGTTAATGCAAACAGACTGTCATCTGCAGTTTGACCCCTTCAATCACTACAATGACAGAACAAATGTTCTCAGGAAAATTTCAGCAGCCTCAAGATTTCCAAAGTGGTTAGAAAAATCAGTTCTATAATTAAATCAGTATTTCAAAAGCTGATGATTCGGCACAAATTCAAATTTAAACACTTGATACTTCATTATGTTGAGATTTTAGAAACATAAGCAGCAAAGAATATTAGGTAAAAATAAAAAGCCATTTGTATAATTACATCTATAAAGTTGTAAAAATAGAGAAATCAATCAATTAGGTACTTCTTTCATTTGCAAGTCATTGCATTTTTAAGTAGTAAGTATATATAGGCCCCAATCAATCAATAGCATTTTCTTTCAAAGTTAGAGTAGTTTCAGATGAATTAGACAGAAGGAAAATCTTTAGCTAATATCATTTTGCAAAAAATTGAACATACCTTTTCAAGGAAAATAGTATCTTAAGCATGTATATTAAGTGACACTTCTGTGCAAAGGTGGTTTTATATCCACAAAGGTCCACTACTAATAATTACCTATGTTAAAATACTGTACCTTGTTTGAAGTAAAGCCTCCATTGGTGTCAACCTGTCCTGCAGCTGTCTGGACACTGCAGTAAGCAAAGATGCACAAGCTGTACTACACCCTGCCAAATCTTCATCTTTAACATAATTCAGTAGGACAAAATACCAGTAAACAGAACCTGAAAAAAAGTAACAACAAAATGTTTCCTTTTCCTTTTTTGCTAATAGAGAAAACTCCAGGTTTCATATTTACCAATAAACTTCCTTTTGCTACCAAGATACTTCCTTTTTCTAGAAATAAAATCTTTCAAGCAGAAATTACAAGGAAAAATCAATTACCACAATGGACCACAACCTGAGGCATAGTCCTACACAAAGAATTTTGAATATACTTGAGAAGTGCTATCAAGTGAATCTAGGTAGTTATGATTGTTATAATGTAGGGTGACTGTGAATGCCCCTTTAATGCATACTTTAGCAAGTGAATTAAGAAAAAGTTAGATACAAGGGGAATATGGCTTAAAAGTTGTTCATTTGTATATTTTATTTTATAAATATTAAGATGTCTAACTACTATGGACATGTCAGATCTTAAGCATTCTATCTCTAAAACTATACTCAAGAAACATTTAAACCTCAGATACTATTATAGTGAACAAATGAGTCTACTCTATACTATGTTACAGAGTTAAAGAGTTAAGAGTTTTAAGTAACATGATCAAGTAAATTCAAAGTCTCTTTATCTAAATTATAATAATGGTAAAATAATCATTTACCAACTAACTTTGAGAAGCATTATTTTCTGGTTTACCATGAAGATCAAATCCTAGTGAAATACAAATCTCATTTCAACTCGCTGAATGAGATAGCTATAAAATTTTGAGAAATATCCACAAAAAGAAAATAAAAATTAGGTTAATGGGCCAAATTAGTACCTTTGTGCTAACAGTGTAAAACAACAAGAGGACATTTAAAAAATCATTAATTCATGTATGTGCTATCTTAAGAAGTTGTCTCTTGTTTATTTTTTAATGTTTTTGAGTCTTGGTCTTACTACATAATGAAGGCTGTTCTTGAACTCATGGCAATCCTCGAGCCTCAACCTCCCAAGTGAAGGCTTGAATTACAGATATATGGTACTATACCAGTGGGGTTGCTTTATTTTAAATAAGCCTTTCTATAGAATTTTTAAACTCTATAAATCAATGGTCCCTTCTATGGTGCTTAGTTTGTCAGTCCTTTCCCGATCACTCAAAATATATGCACGTGAATGGAACCTGAACCATTTTACTTATTGTGTTGTCTCCCTGGCACTTTCTGGTATTTTAGTCTAAGACACCTGGTGTACACTCAGTAAACAACCAAATTATTAAAAGATTTTAATGAAGTACAGAAAAATACATAAATTGAGATGACTTAATACTTAATGTCAATCAAAACTCCTAGAAATATTATTAAAAAGAAAATACATGACCATCCAATCACAAGTTATCAACCTATTTTAAAAAATACAGATAGGAAATAGAAACAAGAGTTAACAAAGAAAAAACAGTTAACAGGATACATCCAATGGCTATATTTGCAATTAAATAATTTTACATACCACCAGTTGCTGCTGCAGGTAAAAATGACATATTATCAAGTAAAGCCTTCAACAAAACAGATCCAAATCCAGGCTGACATGGGTCACATTTGCCATTACTGAAAAATTTTAAAAAGAAAAACTGTAAAGATATTATTCAGGGTTTAAATTCAACCCTAAGCATGGCACAGTACTTAAAATTCTTCGAAATGTATTGATAACTTTTTGTCTTTTTTTTTAAATTTTCTTTTCTTCTTTTTGTTTTTGTGCTGAGAACCAAACTCATGACCTCAGACTTGCCAGGCATGTGCTATACTGCTGAGCTATCCCTGGCCTCAAAAGGTATTCACACTGCTAAGAAAATTCTGTTTTAAAGCCCTGTAAACATACTGCAAGGTAGAAGGAACTACTTATACTAAATCTTTGTAACTATTTTCCTGTGTATTAAACAAGTACCTTTACTACAAAGGACCTATAGGCAAGTGTAATCTGCATTTACCATTAGCTCTTACTTCCTAGAGAGTAAGTTTTCAGGATTTTCAGAAAATGATATGCATGACTTTAGACAATTGTCCATTAAGACATGTAAGACAGGGACTAGCTTCTGGTGAAAAAAAGGCAAGAAGTGAGTTTTGAATGACAGTGAAAGAAGGCTTTCCTCTTACCAAATTCTCCAAACTATTATTAACAAGCAGAAAAGCCCAGCATACATCTTATATTAAGACTTATTTAACATGGAGTTTGGTCCTAAGAACCCAAAATTCTATTTCAGGATTTCACCAACCACATTTAGCTTTTAAAAGTTCTACATTGTTGGGGCTGGGGATTTAGCTCAGCAGCATAAGCACTTGCCTTGCAAGCAGGCAGTCGTGAGTTTGATCCCAGGTACCGATTAAAAAAAAAAGTTCTACATTGTATACTTCAGACAACAAAAACCAAATTACAACGCAAATATGGTATCAAACATCCAAGCTAAAGGTGCATAGAAAGTAGGCTTTCAAATTAGAAACACACAAACCTAATGCACAAGGCTAGGAATCGGGCACATTTATGGGCTATACTTCGTCCTGCCTCAAAAAAACAAACACGGACGATGTCTGAAAGACGTTTTCGTGTTTTTGAAAGTAGGCTCTCATTTCCTTCCTTTGAGCTGAAAAACAATGTAAGTCATTTAGATTCATCTTAAACTCCAAATCATAACACTCCAAAGAGCAATCAGCAGTGGTAAGCAGAATCTTAATTATTAACCTTCCAGGTCCATTTGAATGTACCCCAGCCAACCAACAGAGAGTATCCAATACAAGGCTCTGAGCATGTTCAGTGATTTGGCCATCATCTGCTTTTCTACAAAGAGTGTTAAGGAGCTTCTCATGAAACTCTGAAAATTGTAGCATGGCACATCGCTGCACTCTACAAAAAGAAAACATATAAGACCCATCAAAATACAACTCTTAAGACTAAAGCTATGACAAACTGGTTGATCATGTTTCATTCTAAACACAACTTCATTAATATTTCCAAAACTATCTTTTAGGGCCAGAGATGTAGCTTAGTGGTAAAGTAGTTACCTAGCATGAACAAGGTGCTAGGTTTGATGCTTAGCATCACTCAAAAGAAAACATACTTTTCAGAGTAGCATATGTGTAATAATTTACATAAAGTTTTAAATGAAAGAAAACATACTTTTCAGAGCGGCATATGTGTAATAATTTACATAAAGTTTTAAATAGTATGAAATTTACAAAAAAATAGTGTGTACACTTAGGGATAATAATGAATTAGAAAGTCACCTCATACTCTCACTAAGAAGATGGGAAGCAAATATAACATTTTCAGGCAAAAATTTCGTTTTCCACTTTTGTGTTTGTTGGCATGTTTTGCACTGTTATTACTATAAGAATAACAGAGGCTGGGCATGGTGGTACATGCCTATAACCCAAGCAACCTGGGAGGCTAACGCAGGGCAATTGCAAACTCAAGCAAGAGTAGCCTGGGCAACTTAGCAAAAATCTTGCCTCAAAACAAAACAAAAAAATTTTTTACAGGAGTGGGAATGTGGCTCAAGCGGGAACACTAGCTACCATGGCTGAGGTACCAGGTCCAGTCCATATCACAGTAAAACAAAAAACAAAACAGAGTAATACAATCAAATGAAATTACCTTTCTTTAGCAATTGAGGTTTTCTTAAATCTTCGAATGGTGACTGAGACCTCCTGAAGTAAGTCACAGCCCCGGAGATTTTCAGATTTACGAGTACCACCTGCATTTTCATTTTTAACATTAGATGATTTTTCCTAAACATACAAAAATAGAATATTAAAAGAAAAAATGAAACTATAAAGTTAAGAATAAAGGAAAAAATAACTGCATTAAGAAACTATCAAAACATAAATTTCAAATTAAAATGATAGCTTTCAGCTGGGCATGGTGGCTCAAGCCTGCAATTTCAACATTCAGGAAGCTGAAGCAGGAAGTTGCTAAGAATTCCAGGCCAACGTGGAATACACAGCTGGACAGGAGATCGGAAAGAGGGAAGGGAGGGGAAAGGCAAAGGAAAGGAAGGCTGGCAGACACAAAGGAAAGCGGGAAGTCAAAAAGGAAGACAGACAAAGATAACTTTCATAATCAGTAGCTAATTTTCCACAGACTATAACAGAAAATTAAAACAAATATAGTCACTACTTTAATGACCAATGGAGATCTTTCTCCCTGTGAGTCAGCAGAAGCCATGCTGGGCATGGGAGGTTCCCACCAAGAAGCCAGTGTGCCCTTCTGGTAAGCCACACAAAACATGCAGGGTCCAAGAAGTGAAAAGCCAGACTGTCCTCCCTGTGAGCTGACCAGTGCCCCCATCCCACCCCTGGAAGTAACCAGCTGGTTCGAAGTACAGATTGAGTTGATAGCAATTGAGGAACAAAAACAATTAAATGGTTTGTATTGTTGGATCCACTTTTCAGGCCTAAAGCCAGTAGTCTGAGCACTGGAAAATAACAATATAGAATATAGCAAATTTTGGGGATTTTCTTCTGTCTTGTGTTTGAAATCCAGTATCTGGCTATTTTGTTATGTTCTGATTTATTGTTTTATCTTATTCAATATTTTGACTTTGTTCTGTCTTATTTGATTTTACTGTCTGATGGAATGGAAAACGATTGTGAAGATGAGATATACTAAGCTAGCTATTGTCCTACTTTCCTGTCTTGAAGTTCTGCACCAGTTTTATATCCTTGTTTTGGTTGACTTTACTCTGTTTTGTTTTTGTTATGTTTTATTCTCTTTAAAATTAAAAAAAATTCGTAACACGTCAATAATCAAAAATTAGAAAAAACAAAGTCCTGAGTCCAATTTCCAGTTAGAGCACTTTATAAGCATTTGGAGAGCTATAAACTTTTCAATCTCTAAGGGTCACTTACTTTCAATATTAAAAAATGGACATAACAGTATCTGCTCTGCTTAACTTATTTTGAGGGTTAAATCAGGTAAGTACATAGGAGTCCTTGACAAACTGAAAGACCTATACAGGTGCTACTGATACTGCTGGTGTTGTTACTAATGAATAATGAGGGTAAAGAAAAACCTTATAGAGTGCAGGGAAATCCAAGATCAGACAACTATGAAGAGCCTGCATTGGACATAGAGCTAGTTACTGAAAATCTACCATGAAGGTTAAAACATATCTCTTCCTGCATCCTGCCAAATGGTTAACAAAAATTAAATGGTTAACAACACAAATTAAAATTTAAAATATGGTGAATTTCCAGTATGGGAGACAAAGGAAAAAATTCTCAACTAAGAATATAAGGACCATCTAAAAGTAATTACAAAGGAAAATAATCTGTTAATAATTACTACTAAGAATACCTTAGAAAAGCTAGGTAATTACCTGCAGCTAATTTAAAATATTTTCTTCATAATGACGTATTTTTACATTACAGCAAAGAAAAAGTATAAACCAAGTGTGAAATAAAACATCACTAGAGGGTCATACTACTTCCAATGAGGTGACAAGTTTCCTCCACAATATTTACAAAACCACTATCACAGGTTCAAAAGATGATGTCATACCTTGCCTGCTGCCACTTTTGCCAAGAGTGAAGCAAGCGAGTAACCCTTGTTACTCTGATGTTTTAGAGATGGAAGTCTTACGACAGGACGTATACCACCATTACAAATCTCATCTGCTCCTCTTTCATTCACTGCTTTGACATGGATTAAAAATGAACGATATTTTCCTCCTGCCATTCCTAGAGCAGTGGTACAGAACAGAATAAATAACTGAAAAAGTGAACTATTTTTGACATTCATGAAACAAGCGAAATAAAAATGTCACAAAAAACAAACTATACCAGGGCAGAATTTCCAAATTACACTGTTTGAGTACACATAACAATTTTTATATGATAGTAGCAAAAAACAAACAAAAATCAGCAAAGTTACATCAGCCATATAAAATACAAATTTTTGATCACTGTAAGTATTTGACATATTTTCTTCTAATGACATCATTCAGTTTAATGGTATAAGTTTTGTGAACTACAGAAACACACACACAAAACTGTCCTTCAAATATCACTAATGGATAATTGTGGTATCCATCATTATGTGTATCCATCCAGTCCTCTTATGCACATATACATCTAAACATACACACACATGTGCCCAAATATACTGCATATAGTATACCAGCAGTTTAAAAATCTAAAGTCTTTAGATTAAGAGGCTCTAGTGGACTTGAATAATGGCTCTGCCATTTATTAGGCATAAAGATGTGCACTGCTACACCCAGATGATACACTTTTCATACTGCTGTACTATTCTACCTCCTAGTAACTTCTTAATCTTCTATTTCAAAATTTCTTTGCTCAATCCCACCCTTTTATTTCTCTTTACAATTTAAGTTCCAAAACCCTTAAGAGCTATTTGATAAAATAAAATTAATAATGATAATAACTCTAGTAAATTCTAAGAAAGTCGCGCTTTTACATATGGAGGCTTTCTAGATACAGGGCACTCTATTTTGTCAAAATTCAGTACTTTTTTTTTTTAGCTTTTGATATTTTGAGACATGGTCTCACTATGAAGCTCAGGATGGCCTTGAATGTACTTCAATCATAATACCTCAGCCTCCCAAGTGCTGGGGTTGCGGCATGTACCATCAGGACTTGCTAAACTAGTAATTTTATTTGATATAAAAATTTAAGTTTCATAGTCTCACTGAACAAAACTGTATATGCTCAACAATGAAAATACATATTACTAGTTTCTGCTGAAGACTTTATGCCAGTATGAAACCCAACATATCATAATGACTTAAAAACTTAACAAAGAGGGGCTGGGGATTTAGCTCAGCGGCATAAGTGCCTGCCTTGCAAGCAGGCAGTCGTGAGTTCGATCCCTGGTACCGATAAAAACGAAAAAGACAAAAACAAAAACTTAACAAAGAAATGAGATTCTGTTAAGATAGCACAATAAAACTTGCATATGCAACAGTCTGCATATTCATGGGCACATGTATCCATGATTCCCTGGAATCATGCTTAGTTCTAAACACATTACTATGTTTCTCGACACACAAACTATGATAAAGTCTAATGCCTTTTCCATTTTAGTATTTATTTATTTATTTACTTGAGTCTTTTTGAGACATGAGTCTCACTATGCAGTTCAGGCTGGCTGGCCTTGGACTCACTTTGTGGCCCAGACTGATCTCAAACTTGCAATGATTATTCTGCTTAAGCCTCCCGAAGTACTGAGATTACAGGCACACACCATCACGCACGCCTGGCCATTTAAGCATTTATTCAGTCACTATGACAATAATGTTTGCATTCAGAGGTGCAACAACAAAACTACCACAGATTTCTTGCTCCTTCACAATTTCACAGAAGATTCATTCTTATCACAGATTTTAGCTACCAAGTCATCTGAGTTTTCTTTCTTTACAAGAACGTTTACTTTAAAGAAAACAATACAATTTTTCTGACACATCCAAATCGTCATAACCAATAATCTTCGGTTTTGAGGCCATTATTAAGTAAGATAATGCTTACTCCAAATGAGCTCAGCAATACTGCAAGAATTGCTCTGATAATCAAGATTCTTCTAATAATTAAGTGACTAATGAGTAATGAATGTATAGTGTAGCTTTGTTGGACAGAGACCAGCATGGAGCACACGAAGACAAGTTTCATTATGCTACTCAAAACAATGTGCAATTAAAAGTTACAGAACTGTTCATTTCTGAACTTTCATTTCTGAAATTTTGAATGATGGTTGACAATCAGCGCTATAGCATGGAAAGTCAAACAGGTATGGGTACTAGAGTATATCATGTCTGCAAATGAATATACACGTCTGAATGTGAACAAATTTTGTGAACAGAATATACATGAAATAGTTGCTATTTAGCAATTAAGCTATTTTCTTGGTTTGGAGAAGAAACACTCCCCCAACACATATACATGTCCTCTTCAAATTTTTTCAACAACTGAACTACACACTTTAGGGGTTGGCTTTAAATCACTCCATAACACATAAAGGCTAAGTAAATTCCACTGCTATAGTTTTCTTATTTTCTATTCATCAGCCAATTATTTTTAAAATATGCATTCATTATCATTAATATTAACATAGGACATACAAATTATAACTACACCATCAAAACTATAAAAATCGCATTTAAGAAAAGATATTACGGGGCTGGGATTTAGCTCAGCGGCATAAGTGCCTGTCTTGCAAGCAGGCAGTCGTGAGTTCGATCCCCAGTACCGATAAAAAGGAAAAAGACCAAAAAAAAAAAAAAAAAACCAAAAAGAAAAGACATTACAAAAATATAAAGGCCAGGGATATAGCTCAGTGGCAAAAGTACCTGCCTGGCAAGTGAAAGGTCCTCAGTTCAATTCTTAGTACAAAACCATAAACCCTTGGAAAACATGGTACTCTAAAGTGATAGGACAGGAAAAAATGATAAAATATCCTACTTGATTATTTGTAAAAGGGCTGCTCAGTCACTCTGTAGACATTCCTTTATGTATCATCCAAAAGCAGATACACTGGCTGGCCCAAGGTTGTGAGTTCCATTCCCCGTGGTGGGGGAGAGGGAGGAGCAGATACAAAAGTAGGATCAAAACATTAAAAGTAGGACCAGAAATTCCACATAAGTACAGTTACTTTTAAGAAAAAATAACCCCACGGTAGCTAGTAGAATTTCTAAAGTTCCAAACAAAAAGGTATCTGACATTTTCCACATCATTTAAACAAAAACATTTTATAATTATGACATTATTTATTTTGCTTTCATCAACTGTATTACTTTACCTTTAACAAGTTTGGGGCTTGTTAATGTTAACATCCCGGCATGCCCTGATAGATCAAGGCCACTAGCAAGCCATACTGGCCCACACAGAATGTCTTCTTTATGGTCCTCTAAAAATGGACACAATCTCAGACCTAAAAGAAAAAAATTTTTCTTTTAAATTATTTAAAATGTATTATTAACAAACATATAGCCATCCCATTCACAAATAATACCACCACACAAAACATTGTATTTTGAATGGAATCTACTGTCATGATAGTTATAATCAAGTATCTGACGTGTATTTTCCATTTTCATATTACTTTTATATTTCACCTTGAGTTTCAAAAGAAATGTATTGAACCATGACTTGATTTTAAATCCCAACATAGTAACAAAGTAAGAATGCATGTAATAGCATAGCTGTATTCACAAAAATGAGCTGAAAGTTAAAGCATATTGCCAAAGCAGAATTACAGGTTATTTTTTTAATTAATTTCTTTAAACCAAGTTTTTTGCAAGCGATACAGAAATCTTTGCTGAACAACCACTACTCCTTTTACTGTCATGAACAACAGCTCTGTAATTTAACTCACACTGTGATTCCTCTACATCCATGTGCTGCATTTCTTCATTCAAATCAACCAGGGACGGTTTCCCATTTTGTTCCACTTCAATGTTAAGAGCTGGAGACAAAGGAAAGGTGATCTGCCTATCTACTGCTGTTTCTAGAGGATAAAAATATTAGTAAACTTAATTTTGCTTAATATCAAAGACTTCTGTGCCTAAATCTCTATAATTTGATGCTAAATTGGGAACTGCAAATTTTTGTTTTTATCACAGATGTTATACAGTGCTTGAAATGACAGGAAGAAAACTGAATTCCACTAATTACTTTATATACTCTTTTCTCTCATTGGAATAACATACTGACCCATAGAAATTAAAAGTTCTTCGCCTCGGCTTCACAGTACAAATACTTACAGTATTTAAAATGCCAATGCCTACATCCTAGACCCAATTAAATAAAAACCTATCGTGATTCAAAACAATACAAAATCACACACACATACACAAGCTAATAAATAAACACATATTCATAATTTTTTTTTCACGTACATAATTTAGCCCCTAGTGCTAACTTGCATTTTATCTTAAAGTTATCCCAGGCATTTTAAATTAATCTATTAAAGAAAAAGCACTGAAAAGTAACGTGGTAACTGTGTACAATCTATTTAAATAACTTAGTAAGAGTAATAAAAGCAAGAATATTTGTGGCATTACATGAAAGGTTGGCTTCACTAATAAGCTTATCTGCGTAATAACCTCCATAATGTAGTTCTTTTCACAATCAATTCTTTCCTTAGGAAAAGAAAAGCATTAAGCTAGTAATGTCCAAGTGAAATAATCTACAAAGAAACAAATCCAACGAACCAAAACGGATTACATCACCCAATTTTATGCAACTGAAAAACTTCTAAAATGAGCGATTGTTTTGTTTTGGTTTGGTTTAGTTTTGGTACTGGGAATCGAACTCACCACCTTATGCTTGTCCAGCAGGCACCTATACCGCTGAACCAAATCCCCGGTCCCTTGTTATATTTTTGAAATAAAAAAGTACAACCATGTACTGTGGTGCATGCCTGCAAGTCCAGCACCCAGGAGGCTGAGGCAGGAGGCTTCCTGCAAATTCAAGGCCAGCCTCACCTAGATAGTGAGTTCAAGGCTAAACTACATAGGGAGACACTGTCTCAAAATAAAATCAAACAAACAACTAAATAGTAGCAAAAACAGTATGCAAATAGTATGAAAGAACAAAATCTAAGTAGTCAAATTAAAAATTAATTTTATAAAGAATTAATCACAAGATAAAATCTTAGAAGACCAATTTTTATCTGTTCTTACCATTGACTTTCCCTAAGCCTGGAGCCTTATTTTTCAGCAGTGTCACTTGTATCTGTGGAATATTGGTAATGTTTGAGTTTAAAACAAATTTGAAGTCCACATGTCCAACCATACATGCTTTGGGTAGAACCAATTCAAATACATGTTCATCCCAGCTGTTGCTGTCAAATAAAGAGAAAGGCTAAATAAAGCAGAAGTTTTTCTTTACTCTGAACATTATTATCATTAGTATCATCTTTCTTAATTTATTGTTTGAACATTCCAACAGAACAATGTTTTCCAATAGGATAAAAAAACGAGGATGACCTCCCAAAAGGATTTTGCCTTAGGCACCTAATTCTACTTGGAAAGTTGTTTCTCCAAGTGTGCAATATCATAAATTAGGATTACCACCAAATGCCCAGCCTCATCCTAGATCTGTGTGTGGAGTCCTAGAGTCTTTTATTTTAAAACAATAACTCTACAACTTTGTATCATTCATATATATATATCCATTCTCTGATTTTAAATTTTTATGTCACAATAGATGTTCAATAACTCAAAAAATTATACTTTTATCTCCTGATTAATGCACAATCTAGCCACTATATCTCCCCAACCCCATGGTCCAGGCTATCAGAAGCAGTTAACCCGGATTACCACAACAGAAATCATACTAGAATCCTTGCATCTCTCATTGCCCCACTACCACTATAATCACAGCTACCTAGAAATCTATCCTCAACCCTAACAGTCACACTACTCCTTCCAAACCATAAATCATATCACATCTCTCCTGTACTCATAATCCCCTAATACCTTCCTATCAAATGCAGCACAAGAGTCTGGCTGAACTGCCCACTATTCTTCATCACGTTCACTGTACTGCAACGTAGTTTTCTCACATTTCCTAGAGCTCATAAAAGATATTCCTTAACATGTTTGTATCTGCTATTCCTCTGAACTGGTATCTCCATGGAGGGCTTTCTCAGGCTCCATGTATAAATTATGTATGTCCTCTCTCGCTCTGTCTCTGTCTGTCAGTCTGTCTCTCTCTCTCTCTTACATACACATATAAATACCCAAAAATTACATCAACACACTTTTAACATTCTTTAAAGCTTTTAAAGGACAATATACCACAGGATGTATGTGTTCACTGTTTGTCTATGGCTGGTAGAATATAAACTTCACAAGAATGATGTTACTAATGTCTATAGTGCCTAGTTTAAAAAACAAATATATAATATTTAAGTGTATTTGTGGACTCGTGACCAAATGGTAGGTTTCTCTCATTATTTTATGACACAACTGATAATAAAAATAGAGCAATTTCCAAAATCATGATGACAAGTGAAAGAAACAAAGTTATTAATACGCAAAAGCTAAGACAAACAGTAGTTTACTGAGGAAGTCTGTGTTGTCACTAACAAACATAGAATATGAACGTCAATATCTCAGAATAACACTTTACCCATCAGTCTGTAGTTTCCAAGTTCTAGTGTGCTGAGCAGCATCTCCATGGTGTTGCTGATGCAAATGCTGAGGATGCCTCCTTTGCTGCTGTTCTTGCTGAACCTCTACCCAGCATGGCGGAACAGTGGCTGAAAACCGAGGTGTCAATGTCTCAAAGCGGGTTAGCTCTACTAGAGATGTCAAGATTTCAAGGGTGAATGGCTGCTCCACCAATAGATCAACTCCTTAATATTAGTGAATGTAGTAATTAAAAGAGAAAAGAGGAAAAAAGAAAAAAAGATATAATTTTATTTCATCTTTTTTTACTACTGAACTACAACACTGTCAAATATCCTGCAAGTTAATAAAGCAGGCACAGGTATCTAGAATCAACTAATGATGGAATAGTAACACAGAGGGAAAAGCCCATCTTCAATCATTTAAATTACAAGAATAGTCACTTTGGGAGAAACACAAATTTAACCTGTTACAGGGTTCGCTGGATTTAACTCTTTTTTTTTTTTTTTTTTTTTTTTTTAATTTTTTTTTTTTGTCTTTTTCCTTTTTATCGGTACCAGGGATCGAACTCGCAACTGGCTGCTTGCAAGGCAGGCGCTTATGCCGCTGAGCTAAACCCCCAGCCCCACTGGATTTAACTCTTAAGTTAATAAGTTCAACAACTGCAGTGACACTAAAATGCAGAACAGTTTATATCAAATCAACAATTAACTTTTACAAATTGATATTTACAAAACAAAATGCTAGACAACAGAAAGCATGTAACATTTGTCCCTTTCTTGTCAATTTAAAAAAAAAATGGGGGGGGGGGGGTAACTGGGGATCAAACTCAAGACTGCGCGCTTGCAAGGCAGGTACTTATGCAGCTGAGCTAAATGCCCAGGCCCCATCAATTTAAAATTTAAAGAATAGTCAAAAACTAATCCGATGGTGTCGGATTGGTATACAAAACTAATACAAAAGATTAAACAGTTTATTTATTATCACTTCTGTGGTAGGTAAGATATATCTAGTAGACATACTATTTTTACAAAGTCACAATGTACTTCAGATAGATTAACTTCTTTTAATATATCCATTCACATTTGTGAAATGTCTAATATTAGACAGAAGTGAGTAGTTGGTTTTCCAATTAACAAAAACATATTTTAAAAGGGCTAAAATATGAAGCATGGTAGGTTTAGAATATTCTCACAAAGAAACAAATAAGACAAAGTTCTACAAATTATAAACTTGTAACTTTTTCTCAAAGTTTAGATACATGACTTAAATACTAACTATTGTTTATCAACAATAACAGCATGGTGTTAATATCCTTTCTTTACAGTATATCCACATCTTCACTCTACCAGTAACATCCAGCACAGTACTGTTTTTATACCAAGTTGCATAGTTAACCTAGAAAACCAACTCCTGATTAATTACAAGTTGGTATATCCCAACTGGGAAGTTATTCTGCCTACAAGGAATCTCTTAGAAATATATCTGATAGGGCTGGGGATTTAGCTCAGCGGCATAAGCACCTGCCTGACAAGCACGAGGTCGTGAGTCCAATCCCCAGTACTGCAAAAAAAAAAAAAAAAAGTATCTGATCATGATGAGGACAGTTGTATACTACTAGAATTAAATAGGTAGAAGGAAAAGAGAGGATGCTAACGTAGTACAGGTCAGTCTGTTCACAAATGATCAGCAGTGTTGAGGCTGAGAAGCTCCAATATACAATGTAGTGAAAGTTGCTATTTATTATATTATTCTACTGGTACTTTAAAATCCCACAGCTACATATGAACTAGTGATCAGTGCTTTTGGTGCAAGAAAAAAATACCAAACGCCCATGTCCATGAATATCAATACCAACTTTAGAAATTATTTCTACCTAGGATATGAGTTTTAATATATTTTTCATTCATGGTTCATTAAATGCTAGATTCAGTAGACAAAATGCAGTAAGTCCCAAGAACAAAATATAGCCACAGTAAGGATTACCTGTGTTTACAAGTATTTACATTTTTTAAAGAGTCATTTAAAAATGTGCTATCATACCTGAAATGCCAGGACTCGAAGGATTTGATAAAGGTTTGGAACCTTCTGAAGTCGGTTCTATTCCTTTAGAGAGAGATCCATCCACTAGAATATCAGCTTCATCAATATCATCACAAGTTCCTCCAATTTGGAGAAAATGAAGCTCACCACCTGTAGTATGTAAAATTCCATCATCACAAATAATAAGAATGAAAAACTTTGGTTAAAATTTTTGACTTATTTTAATATTACTCAATAGGAGGTTAATAGCAACACAAGCACAGTACAATTTATATAAACATTTTGGTTACTATCATCTGATAGGTAAGGCAATCAACGCACTTTATTTTCAAGGTTATAGAAATTTAACTGCCAAGAAACTGCTAAATAAAAGCCAATTTTAGTGAAAAAAAGTGATAAAGGCAAAATTAACACACAAAGCAGGATATTATTTTAAGTGGTTTAACTGATTCATCTAATCTGCACCGAAAACCGTAGAGCCAGACTCTATTACTGTGACTGAAGAAACTGATGAACCAGCTGCCCAGGCATCCTCTATCACAGAAAAATAAGCAACAGCAAACTTAGCAAATATATAAGAAAAATTTCAAAAACATTGTACAACAGTATATTTTAACAAGAATACATTGAGTTATACATCCAGCATTACAGAATGAGGAGAGTAGATAAATCGTTTTCCTGAAAACAAAAACAAAATCAGATCAAAATAACGTGCAATGGAAACATTTCCAAACAAAGATTGCAAACACTTTATGTTAGCTGACCTGTCTTAACAATTAAAAGCAAAGTTCGTTCTTCAAATCAAAGAAAGTAAGGCTGGGGATGTAGATCAGTGATAGAGTGCTTGTGTAGCATGTGTGAGACTCGGGCCTCAATCCCAAGTAATGCAGAAAGAACAGAACAGAACAGAAAGCAACAGCAAATTCTTAGAGGAAAAATAAAGATGGTTAGGCACAATGATCTATGGCGGGAATCCCACACCCCCCCTGCACACACACTAAAGCAGGAGGACTAGCCTGAGCAACATACAAAGACCCTGTCTCAAAACCTTTAAGAAGAAGAAGAAGGAAAAAAAAAAAAAGACTGGCTATCACCAAGGGGGGAAAAAAAGATGATGATAAAGGAGAAAAGGGGAAAAGCAGAAAAGAACACACAGAAATGACAGTGAATAAATATTTCTTCTCATTCTTATATTTTTAGTGGGGCATGGTGGTATATGCCTGCAATCCCAGCATGTGGGAAGCTGAGGTAAGAGATCACCATGGGTTACCAAGACATCCTGGGATCCACAGTGTGTTCAAGGCTAGCTTGACCTATGTAGCAAGACACTGTCTCAAAAAAAAGTTTTATTTAAAAGAAAGCTTTCATAAAATAATTAAAACATTTTTGTCAGGTTGATTACTGTCAAAACTGAAGGATTAAACCAACATTTCTATACATTTTATTAGGATTAAAGTAGTATTTTTAGCCAGGCCTGGTGGTGCATTCCTATAATCCCAGCTCGTGGTTAACAAGGAGGACTGCTGTGAGTTCAAGGTCAGCCTCAATTGCACAGTGAAGCCCTGTCTCAAAAAGACCTTCCCCAAAAGTATTCTTCTAAATTAGACTGCAATAAATTAAATCACTAAGAATACAACATACACACACACACACATACACAGAGAGAGAGAAAGAGAGAGACAGAAAGAGAGTGAGTCATTGAAAAAAAAAGAATACAAGGAAGAGACCAGGCAGTGATTCTCGCTCATTTAAATGGCCAAGTAGGAAGCTCCAAGGGTCTTTTCATCAATGAACCAGTAACTGGAATCCACTGTTTCAGAACCCCGGAACTCGCAACCAAAAACATGGCTAATGACAAGACAGGCACATCTCCAGTAAGACTCCATCTCCCATTGCTTTGCCCTGCTGTAAGGTGGAGAAAGAGGCCCACTTGCCTGCAGGGACTGGAGGACACCCAGGCAGGCAACAGAGATCAGAGCCTCTAAATATTTGGTGTTGCACATCTTGATTGGTCTGGAAGTTCCCGAAGGACCACTGCAGACTCTTGCTATGGCCTTGGCCACTTCCCTAGGAAACATTTTTGCAAACATTTAAAAGGGTCAAACCCCTTTAAGAGTACTGAGAAGAGGGGCCTGGGATTTAGCTCAGTAGCCTAAGCACCTGCCTGGCAAGCTCCGGGTCATGAGTTCAATCCCAAGAGTATTGAGAAGAGCAAAGGGTTTTTTGCCCTTTGTCAGGTCACTCACAGCAGAGACAATAAAATAGAAACAGCAGGGACCGTATAAACAAATGAACTTTCCTTTATGAAAAATAAACTAGAAAAGTCACAGACTGATCAATGACCAACAAGCAAAAATCTGACTGGAAGAATCACACTTTTACAAATATCACACACAATACTTAAGAATGTATCCATCGGAGGCTGGGGACTTAGCTCAGCGGCATAAGCACCTGCCTTGCAAGCAGGCAGTTAGTTGGGAGTTTGATCCCCGGTACCGATCAGACACACACACACACACAAAAAAAGAACGTATCCATCATAATTTAAAAAAAAAAAAAAAAACTTTTTTCTAAAGTACATAAAGAAATAGGAAAGTGCTATAATTTGTAACTAGGTAATCCCCTAAATCTTGTGTGCTCATAGGTGGGACTTTGAGAAGGTGACTGCATTATGCACTCTTGATTTTCATCAGTGGATCAGCCCAGTGTTTACAGCCGTGTTGGAAGACGATGCCTGGTCAGAGGAAGTTACTTGTGGCAGAGTCTAAAAGGGTCTCTTTCCCACTTCGATCTCTGATTCCTCAGGGAAAGTCATGAACTTTTTCTCCTCTGCCATACTGTCCTGCTATACAGCTAGCAGACAAAGGACTGAAACATCTACAAACTGGGCTGAAATAAACGTTGCCTCCATTAAATTGTGGGTGTCAGGTATTGTGTCTCAGTGATAAGAAACCAAGAAAGTAAGACTCAAGGGGGAAAAAAGAGAATTTAACAAAAACTACTCATGAAGAAAATCAGACACTGGAATTCCTAACCATAAATGTTAAATCAACTGCCTTTATACAATCAATTAGCTAATGGAAACAATGTGGAAGGGGGAAAGAGGGAAAACAAATGTGATCACTAAATGTAAGAATAAAGAGATAAATGGAAAACTTCCATAATTAAAATTACATATCAAAGGACAATCAATAAAGTGAAAAGACACAAAATGGCAGAAAATAATTGTAAAACATACATCCAATAAAAGACTTAGCGGAATATAGTGGTGCATGAGAGGGTGTGGCAGGAGGACTGCCACAAACCAGCCTGGTCTACAAACTGAGTTCAAGCTCAGCCTAAAATAGAAAGCAAGACTATCTCAAAAGACCCGGGATTTAATAATATGCCAAGGCAAGAGAACTGACTGCTTTTGAATCTTAGGTCAGCCTGGACTACACAGTCAGTTCAAGGCCCTGCTAAAAACAAAACAAAACCTTGTCTGAAAAAAAGTGGTGGGGGCAAGCTCAGCAGCAGCTCCAGTAAGTGCAAGTCTGAGTTTGATCCCTTTTTGGTACAAAAAAAAAAAAAAAAAAACAGAAAAAGGGAGGGGAAAAAAAGGCAGGTAATTCATGGTTTTACAGTAAGTTCTTAGATACTCCTAATATATTACTCTTTTCTAATGTTACATTCATGTTTAAAGAACTGAGGAATTTAAATGATACAGTAAAAATATTTATTAAAAGCACCCAGTAAAAGAATAACAAAAGAATGTGAAGCCAATAAAAGGTTTTTTTGTTTTTGTTTTGTTTTGGGTCTTCTTGAGACAGTGGTTCACTTTGCATTTCTCAGGTTGGCCTTGAGTTTACCTTCTAGCCCAGGTTGGCCTCGAACTCAGTGATCTTCATTCTTAAGCCTCCAGAACGATTATAGGCATGCGCCAACATGCCCAACTCGAAAGAAATATTTTAATATAAGCAAGCATAAATGCCACATAAAAATCTATCTGGTTCAAGTTTAATAGAAAAAGACTATCCAACTGAAAAACAAAGCAAGATTTGACTATATGCTGCCTATAAAACATCTACTTTACCTTCAAAACTCACACTCTGGTTAAAAGTGAAGGAGTGGGAAAACTGTAGGAAGCAAACAGAAACAAGGCAACTGGAGTTTATTAATATAACATGCAAAATAAACGAAGAATATTTCAAGACAAAAACATTAGTAAGTATAGGGCTGAGGATATAGCTCGGGGGCACAAGCACCTGCCTGGCAAGTGCGAGGTCATGAGTTTGATCCCTGGTACAGAAGAAAATTAAAAACCTTAGTATATCAGGAAGATTCAACAATTATAAAACAGCTTCTCTAATGAAACAGCTCAAGATAAGTGACTCTGATAGATTTAAATGGCAAAGTAAAGAATTCCACAAAAACAGTAGAAGATTTCAATACTTTTTCAACACATTGTTTTCAAGTACATGCAGAACATTCTCTAGGATACAGAATGCTGGCTCATTTAAAGTCTGAATAATAACTGAACATACTAGTACATGCTTATAATCCCAGTACCAAGGAGGGTGAGCCAGCAGAACTGTCTTAAGTTTGATGTCAGCCTGGGCTGTTTACTAGAAGTTCAAGACCAGCCTCAACTATGTAACATGCTAGTTCTGGTTTCAAAACCAAACAACAACATGGTCTAAATAACGTAAGGCCAGCTACCTGGAAGACTAAGGAAGGAAGATCACAATTTTGAGGCCCATCTGGACAACTTAGTGAGACCCTAGCTCAAACTTTAAAAAAGGGGGAGTGGGGCTGGGGCTGTAGTTCAGTGGTAAGGCCCTGAGTTTCAATGCCCAGTATTTTTTTTAAAAAGTCTCAAGTTTTGAAACACTGACATTTATATTATGTTTCTCTGACCACAAAGAAATTAAGAGATTCAAAGCAGAAAGAAATCTTGTAAAAATGCAAAAAAACTTACAAATGACCCATTAGTCAAACAATAAATCACAATGGAAATTAGAATACATTTTGAACTAAAGTAAATTAAAACTGAGACAACAAAACTTACATAAGTCCCAAAATGAGGGGAAGGAAGGAAATAATAATACTGTGGAAATTAATAAAAACAACAAAAGCAAAAATCTTTTAAACCAGAAGTTGGTTGTTTCACA